ACCTTTAAGTAGAAAATGTTGCCTTCATCATCAGGCCTAAGTTTTTTTGTTTTTGTTTGTTTTAATATTTTTTTACGGATCAAGTTGATTAAGTTTTCTCCATGATGGTAACATAACCAGTGGTCAAAAGCTCTTAAATTAAAGAATTAACTTTCAAGGAGGCCTACCAAATAAAGTATTAAGAACTAAATCTACCTCAACCAGCTCCAACAGTAAGATGCTTTAGTCGTTGATGCATTAGTAATGAATCTAAGAATGTAATAATATAACACTCACATAGGTGATTCTTAATAAAACATTTAATAAATAAAGTATCAAAAGTAATTTTGGAGCAATGGCCCTCACTTCCTGCCCTGTGTCTCCAGCAGCACATGTTGCCATGATGACACACTCACAGACAAATATTGAGACATTGAGAATGAGCAACCTTTTGAAGGTTGTCAGAGTATCATTTCATCATAATCATCATCACAGTCAGTGAAAACAGAATTGTCCGTTGCTTGTATTTAAATAGATCAGTCAAAGCCAAATATATGATGTATTGAATTTTAAAATCGATCAACCCTTTGATAACGTTGATGAAGAGGACCTGACCTCATTAGCAGAAGTGTGTTCTCTGTTTTTTTTCTTTGCTTGTCACCTTTTGCTGTTTCTTTCTGTGCTCTTTCTTCCAGCAGTAGTGGACTGAGCAGAAGTCCAGGAACGCCTCAGCCAAGATCAAACCTTTTAGTGACCTTCCAGCACTTTTGACAATCTCTGTGCACCGGTGCACTAACCATCAAGCCCCATGAGGCCCCGAGAAGAGCACAGTAATCAAGGTAAGATCGAGGGGGTGGCGGTAAACACCGGTTCAATTCCATGGAAAGAGTGGGAAAAAACATGTGTGTGTTTGTGGTGAAAATACGCCACCTGCAGTGTCAACAGCTCACACAGTCCCCAGTAATCAAGCAACTCTAATATTTACACAGGTGGAAAACATTTTAGAAACAAGTCAGTATAGAGGTATTTGTACTCCTTGAGTATTTCCATTTACTGTTCTTTCATACTTGCACTACAGTTGTGCACGAGTAATCAAACCTTTTACTTGTATTTGGTATTAAAAGGGCCCTATTGTGCTTTTTTTTGGTACCATCTCTGGTAATACGTGGAATAATAAACTAGTAAGAATATTATGATACATTTTCTATGCACATTTATTCAGAAATATCTCCGAGTTAAAGGTAATTCACTTCAGAAACACTTTTTGGTATATTCCATGGAATGCTCTTAACATCCCGATAGCAATGAATAAATTAAGTGCTTTGATAATAAATATATACAAATAGTGCATCTGTGGAAGCCATGGCGCTGTAAAAAGCAAGTCCATTTATCTGACTCGGCCCGCGGCAGATAATTGGATGGCCTACCTGCCTGTCAGCCTTCCATCTCTTGCACAAACTTATCTTGTGCCCTCATTGGTCATGTGCGCGTGTGTGTGTGTTGGAGGAGGGGCTCTGTAAGGAGGTTGATTTTTTCGGTTGTGTACTTTCAAATTCTAGCTTACTCGAGCTGGTTTCTCCATTCTTACCTATACCTTTAAGGTTGAATTTAAAATGTAATATACTAATTTATACTGCAATGTATACATGAATACTACAGAAAAATCAGCTTTAAACAGTTGAACAAGACTTGAATAAAGACGTTCAGCTTTTGCAAAAACAGTTTAAATTTCAGTTGAGTTGTACATCATTTACTTGAATCAAAAGAAGGTGGTTAAACCAGCCTCTGTAGTTTTATAGTGACTCCTTCAATGCGACAGATCTTCCACAAGGGGGCGTCTGTGAACAACAATTATCTCTCTGAGGCCTTTTCATCAGGCTCATTATGATCGTGTGTGTGTGTATGTGTGTGTGTGTGTGTGTGTGTGTGTGTGTGTGTGTGTGTGTGTGTGTGTGTGTGTGTGTGTGTGTGTGTGTGTGTGTGTGTGTGTGTGTGTGTGTGTGTGTGTGTGTGTGTGTGTGTGTGTGTGTGTGTGTGTGTGTGTGTGTGTGTCAAAGCAGAGAGGACTTCTAAGAAACAGATGTCTGCACATCCCCAGTTGTTGTTGGTGTTGGTAACCAAAAATATTTCTTACATCTAACTTTTGAATGAGTTGCAAAAAATGGTTTTAATCTAATAAAAACCAGATGGCTAATTCTGATTGGAGCTTGTCACTGAGCTGTGGCTGTAGGGATAGACCCTATATAAATAAAAGTGATAATACAATTCATTTAAATTAAAGGGGACCTATCATGCAAAATGCACTCCATAAACATCCAGGAGCGACGCTTGGTCAGGGTCCCGAGGCGTGCAGTTGGGACGCTCCTAGGCTCCTTCAGCTTCACAAACGGGCGCAAATAGCGTTCAACTGATTGCAATGTATTCCCATCTGCTGCGGGATTTGACGCTCATGGAAGCACCACATCTCTGTATGTCGGCGGCTGTTAAAGGCAATGTGAGCGTCCATTCCCATTGGATAACGGAGAATTGTACACCCGGAAGTAAGTATTCCCCTTACTGTCGATCGATTTGACAGTGATATCTGCACTACTCATCAACTCAAACACACCAGATTATCCTTGTTAATTAAACAACATTGATAGGTTTTAGTGTACAATGCTTTTGTCACGTTTTCCCCTTCAATTCTGAGAAACAAGTCGTTTTCTATGAGTTTTGGATGGCCGAAGACATTACATTACCCACAATCCTCTGTAGCAACCATAGACTGTATACTGCAACAGGCAACAGCTTCGGTTCATGTTCATTTACAAACTCTTCAACTACAACCGTAATTATATTTAAAAACATGTTAGAAGGTCTCACGAAATACTTTAATGTAAATAAAAATTTAAATGTGAAGGAATGTGTGTATAACAAAATACATCCTTCATAAACGGAACCAGAAACAGACGTAGGCAAGATCCTCAGCTCGATGATTGGTTGGTTTAGCCGCAATGCACGCTGGGATTTGGTGTTTATGCGATGTGAAATCCGAAAACATTTAAAAAATAAATAAATAATACATTATTCCGAGTGTGCTTGCTTTTCTCTTTGAAAGTCATCACATAACGGCATTGAAATACACGTTTCGGCTGCATTAAATATTACATATCTGCCGTAGTTCTGTATTTATAGAGCCCTGATGAGAAGACTTCAAGACAAACAGGAACAACTGCCGCCAAAACGGAAAACTTGACGTGGATCTTAAATATATAAGCAATTAAACTACATCTTACATTTCTCTTCACACAATACGTCTCCTTGCAGTATCAACACTAATTCGGCTGACTTTTATATTTGATCCAATTGGTAGATAGGCTGTATTTACGCCATAATGGTGCACAGCTGATAGAAAGGGACACCTACTGGTTAAAGCACGTTATTGCATTTTATAATTGTATTATTGGGTACCCCTGGTTGGTAATAGACGAGTTGGGATCGCGGAGAAATGCTCTCCGCAGACCCATTCTCACAGCGTTTATAAACCTTTTTCTTACTCAATATCAAGCCACACTTATTGTTTTTACTTTGGCTGTGAGTGTTTGTGTGTGCTCTGCTCACTGCTCAGGATGAGTTTCGCGCTGTCTCGCTGTATCGCCGACCCGGAAACCACACCAGTAAGCCAGCTCACTGAGCAGCGAGCCTCGCAACGTCCCGACCAATCAGAGGACACTGGGCTCACAGGGAGGGGGGGGCAGGATCTCCAACAAGCCGTTTAGGACAGAGAGTGAATACCTGAATACACATACTTTACAGAGATGCTGTATGAGAAACCAATGTGCGTTTGGAAAATTGCACAGTATAAATATATTTTAGTATACCTCAACAATGGAATTATGATCAGTAGAAATGGCCTTGACATGGGACCTTTAAATTCCTGTATTTAAAATCGTACTTAAAGGTGGGGTAGGTAAGTTTGAGAAACCGGCTCGAGATACACTTTTTGTTATATTCCATGGAATGCTCTTAACATCCCGATAGCAATGAATATCTTAAGTGCTTTGACAAAAAATCCATTAAAAAATGTCATCTGTGGAAGCCGTAGTACTGTAAAAAGCACGACCAATCATTTTAGCCGGCCCGGCTAAAATAACTGGATGGCCTACCTGCCTGTCAGCCTTCCATCTGTGCACAAACTTATCTCGTGCCCTCATTGGTCATGTGCACGTTCGTGTGTGTTGGAGGAGGGGCTCTATAAGGAAGTGGCAGATTTTCTCCGGTTGTGTATTTTCAAATTCTAGCGATCTCGAGCTGGTTTCTCCAAAATTACCTACCCCACCTTTAATAGAAAATAAAGGAGATTTTTAAGAAACAATCTAGCCGTAAAACTATATATTTCATTAGAATACTGTAAAATGGTCAGTTTCGTTGTGTTAAATGAATATATGAATATGGATACTGATGTAACAATGTGTATGTGGCATATTACTTTTGTAGCTAGTAGAAGTGTACACCTATCTCATAAAGAGATTTGCTCTAATTGGGTCCCAGCTGAAACACATAGCTGGTGATCTCTCAGACTGATTTGAATTCATATGAACCATTTTCAATTAACTTGAACTATATCTTAAAATAAGAAAATAAAAGGCGCTACACTATTTTTATGAAAAGAAACTTGTTCAACTTAAACTTGTCATCATCATTTTAAAGGTGTTCATGTTTTGTTCAAATCATTAAAGGAAGTCACTTGTACTACATGTAGTGGAGTAAAGTAAATATATTGGAGTAGAAGTATAAAGTAGCACACAATAAATATTCCAGTACTATAACAGTATTTGTACATTATTAAATATCATAGGAAAGTTTATATATTATATTGCAATACATAATACTGCCTGATCCTAAAGTCTTGTTTTGAAGAGATTCAGTTTATTTAAGGTGTTTTATTTCCGAGTGCTCACATGACGAAGCCGACTCTCTGACAGATGTGAACAGAATTGTAAGAAAAGCAGAACACCACACACAAAACACAAAACACAGTATTCTTCATGAAAATTTGACATTTTAATGGAAACTAAAATTGTGAACACTGGAAGTTTTTTTTTTTTTTATATCGACTCTATTACATTGTTTGGAATTTGAGGGTTATTATCATGCTTTAAAAAAAACAAAAAACATTGTAATGTGACACTTCTGTTAAATTCCAAACAAAAAAATAAACAGACTGCTCACTTAAAAACGTAAAATGTCGACCTGTAAGACATTTGAGAAAGAAAAATGCTGTTGCCTCATCTTTTAGGGGGGCAAGAGATGTCAAAGTGAAAAGAAGGAGGAGCAGACCAAATCAACACGCACAACAGCCATTTGAGATGACACAGAAACAGAACAAAAGATGACTCGGCGCAACACATCGCCTCTTTTCATGACTAAACCTTGTAGAGACACATGTTGCCCTTTTTTTTTAAATTATTATTATTCATGTGTGAACTCAAAAACACTACCTCTCAGGTGTCTTGCCCCCTCAATTCAAACATTTCCACAAAAAGGCAGTTTAAAGAAGGGACAGGTTTTAAGTAGAGCACAAACACCAAAGTCCAGCATTTCCCATTACAGACGATTGATTACTGGATAAAGAAGAAGCAGCACTTCTGGTATTTGTTTTATCTTTTGCTCTCACACACCGTAAAATAACTCAAAAGTGACATTCAGCTGCTACAGTAGTGACTTCTGTTCTTCACTATAAACTCCAGCCTGTTATGACATCAACACGCGTCTCCAGTCTGTGCGCTTGCCCTTCACTAGCTGAATATCTGAGTAGTGTACCTTTGGCGAAAGCAGATTTCAGAGTTGTTGAACCGCACTTTAATACCTCACTCCCTCACAACATGATCACTACAAATAAAAAATATATTAAGAGGAACTCTGGGATGCAGTGAGTCTCATCACTCCATCTCAACTATCTGAAGAGTTAAAGTCATTTGTAGAAAATCTGCTGGAAGAGTTCAAATATATTAACATTAACGGTGCTATTGTTGGGGGATAAAATAGGTCAGTCTTTATCAGTAACGTAATCATCTAAAACTCACACAAAAATGAGACATCTTGATTTTCTGTATCATTTATTCCTTTTAGTCTCATCCTACTTGTGCATCTATGGATAAATTAGGTTCTAACTCAAAAATAAAACCTTTTTTTAAAACACGTTAAAACATAAATTTGTTAAATCAGTTGAAATCAATGATGTGCTACTTCAGACAGTAACTCGACAAATGCACCGGCATGAGTATAGGCCAGCGAGAGCTCATCGTCCGTCCCATTCAAACTGATTTTGGCTTACAGGTCACACAATTCAGAACACAAGCCATGACACATTTCAAAACCTACAAAACACATACAATTCTCATTGCTTTCAGCTGCGTCCATGTCGCTTGAAAGAAAAATTATAGGATTAGCTGTAAGAAAACTTAAAACAGCATTGCAAATGTTACAAAAGAATGAAGAAACAAAAAAAATGGCACGGATATATGCTGGAAGCAGATTTTAAACAATCAAAATTGCTGTAAAAGTATATATTTTTTCACACAGGCACCTGAACATGAAACAAAAAAGGGGGAGGGGGAGGGGGGGATTGAAATATATGAGGAACTTGCATATAATAGGAAGAACTCGCTATGCACACACCCAAAAATACAACGAGGCCGAGCTCGTCACTCACAGCCTGGAAGCCTGCATCAGTCCTTGAGGTGATTGCACATCCTGAGGGGACGGAGATAGACACTCCACATGATCAGGCTTTACTTTCTCAACAGTCACTCGTCCCCCCCCCCCCCCCCCGCCCCCCCATCACTGATTAACCATGTACTTGGCTTCAAGAACCTGTTTTTGGTTTGCAGGCTACAATGCTAAATAATAGCTTTATCTTAATAAATGCATATTCAACATAGCCTTTTTGCTGTATTAAGTGCTTCAAAAGACCATCCTTGGGGTGGGAGGATGGGAGATTCTCTGATTTCCCTGTACAGGACCATCCTCTCAAAGAGCAAGACAAAATATATTTTTTTAGTTTTGAAAGAAAAAGGTCGTAAGACTACAGTAACACCACGTACTACTCATTTTAAACACCCTGTTTTACATGTAGGAGCCGACAGATGCATCCCTGTCCGTGGATGATGATGCTTTCAGCCTGAACAATTTGGCATGTACCATATGTGAACCTGATTGTGTTGCTTTGTTGATGGATTATGGACAATCAGAAGAAATTCAATTGTGAGGATTGTGTAACTTAATGCCGGATTAAATGTCAATTTCCACAAGCACAGAAAAAAAAAACACAAGTCTAAATGCTAATGGACAATATTAAATCAAAATGCCCATGCTTTCTCATATCAACACAGTTGTTATAACTCGGAGGGTACTTTTCCATCACATGCCGTACAATGGAAGCCAAAAAGAAAGTTGTTTAAATAGCTGACTGAGATAAGACATGTCAAGACAACTGGCTCTGCACGAGTACAAGCTGCAGCGCTGCCTAATCAGGACACAGTGGGAAACAAGTGTACTTAAAAGCTCATACCCAGTATGGAGCCGACCAATAGAAACACCACTGATGCTCAGCAATAATAAATCAATAGGTGATTCACTATGAACACACATGGGAGAAAAATGAACCATCAAAATTGCAAGATTACAGTATAGTATACATAGAAAACAACGCGTGGAGCAATGTGTTTTTTCTTTTCTTTTTTTTTTTTTCTTTTTTTAAAGGGGGAAATAAAAAGGAAATATTTTTAGAGCCCCAAATGACGACGAGAGCACCTTGCACGTCATGACAGTTTTCCTCAAGAGTATTTGGTGTTTTCTCACACATCATACAAGACTATAGTCTTGTATGATGTGTGACAAAACACCAAATACTATATATATATATATATATAATAGGACTTCAATTGAGCATTTCCAATTTGAGTACATTACATGACAGGGGCCGTTTGGCAAAAAAACAATAGTTAACATAGTCATGGCTTTATTAACACTACCTGAGTTACATTTAATAATTCTGTATTTATTTTTTTAAAGTAACAGCCCAGAGCCATTATTTCAACTAGTATTTCTTGTCAATACATATAGATCTCTCTTGTAATTAAAAGATAAAAGCAATTAGTTTACATAAAGTGCTATTGATCCACACATTAACCAAATCATATCTTCTAAAGCAGTGGTTCCCAACCTTTTTTGTCTCGTGTCCCCCCCTATACTAATCTGTGATGATTCGCCTACATTTTTTCTCGTGTTAAACTCTTTTAAATTGTATTCAACCCAACTGCTCCTTACATGAAAATGACTAGTATAACTCCACCTTAATACAAATGCATTTCAACTTGATGTCAATGAATGAAAAACAATAATGTTAAGATTCACTTCTAGCAGTTTCAACATATTCTGTTAAGCCTAGAGATTTTAATGAGAAACTTGAGTTTGCTTGTCCTTCATGAGCTTTGATAGTTTAGGGGGTTGGACACAAGGCTTATGAAAATTGATGTTTTGATGTGTGTAAATAGGTTGCAATCCCTAATCTTTCTACATACACCCTAAACCCCCCAAGTAACCCTAGGGGTCCCCGTGCCCCCGGTTGGGAACCACTGTTCTAAAGAACAGGAACCTGAACAGTTCCTTTGCCATGTTGGATAAAGCGATCGTGATCTGGAGATGGAGATGAGTGATGTCACAGCTGGCCAGTTAGTAGTTAGCGAATTTGGGCTCCCTAGACTTAATTAGATCTTTTAACGTGAGCTCCTTAGCAAAATCCACTTTAGGATTTGTGCAACAAACTGAAAACGCACCTTTTTTATTTAACAAACCCCACCAGCATTTGGGTGGTGATAATGTAGCTCCATATAACCCCTACACACATTGTCTGGATCACACGGTGTTATTGCACACTGGTTTGCAAATGTAAAAATGTTAACAGTAAAACATAATATAATTCATCTTCACATTTGAACACAAAGTGGCTAGTTGGGGAGGGGAACCAAGATTAGTATTGCAATTGTTGTTGTGTTACTGTTATCTTTGTATGGCGATGAACCTCTGACGCGTTCATTCCCTCCAGTAAACATGCAAGAAATACAATGCCGTAAGACAGAGAAGTAAAAGAGCAGATGCTGAGTCAGAAAAACAGAAATAAAGATCAGTCGTAAAATGCAACACATGTTCCTTTGACAATAGGAATTGAACAGTTTTGACATAGAAAGAAAAACCCCAAAAACATCTGTACGGACATCCTGAGTCTTGCTGCTGAACAAAGAGCACATTGGTAGCTCTTGCTCACTCAGTTAATTCCTAAATCAAGGATTCACATACTAGAAGGTATATATTTAAATGAGTCGGAATTTAGGACCTGACCTCATATCAATCTGCATGAAATGTACTAGAAGCCTTAAGATGAAAATATTTTGCCTTTAACGGAGACCTGGTGTAAAAATGAAATGAAGGGGCGTCGCTTTCCTTCAGATTGGGCACTCTTGTACCTGTGCTCTGGGGTCATACTGCAGGGCAGATAACACATTAATGTTAGGGCAGACAAACAGACAAGTAGAAAAAGAAAAAAGCAAGTGTTTAAATTCCTGGGCTCTGATTTTGCCTTGAGGACTTAAGACAAGGTTCTCCCTTCCTGGATGGGACCTCAACTTTGAGCTTCCAAAGATCTGAACTCCACAACTTCAAGGCATTCTTTGCAAAGTGTGTTCTCCTTTTCCTCCATGGTAGATTCAAGCTTGCACACGGATGTGTATGTAAAACGTCTAACATATCTACAATGAACTCATTTGAATGCGTGAAGAAGAAGAAATGACTGAGGCATCCCAAAGTCAGACTGACGGCTGCCGCAGTTCAACAGGAAAAAGGCTTAGGGAGGTGCAATCCATGACACCTTCCTTTTGTTGAACTCCCAAACATCATCCTTTAAGAGCCATGAGACAAACAACTAGCACAGCTCCAAAGTCTCACTTATCGTGTTGGAGAGGCACCGATCAACTCCTAACGTCCCTCCAGAGTGTGTGTGTGTGTGTGTGTGTGTTTGTCTGAGGCCCCTAAAGAAGTCTGTTATTCCATCGGAGATTCCAAGGAAAAATCGGTCATGCTAAACTATCAATGTTTTCACAGTTGTCACTTTATCTGTCCAACAGGATTCAGGACTCCAGGTAGATAATCGGAGCACCCAGAAGAGAAGTACAGTAAGTACTGTAGAGCGTCTACCTCACTGATCAGGTCCGTCCTTGGTCTCATCATAAACCACCACTCTTTTTGGATCTACAGCAGAGGGGGGAGAAAGGTTAGTTTAGGGATACTCAACGTACTTTGCCCGAGGGAAACCTTTTGCACCACGGGCCAGTGCATTAAAAAAAAAAACATAAATAATATGTACCAATTGACTAGAGATTAATAAAGGTCTATAGGTTTTTCTCTTATAGACTTGACTTAATAACAGTAAGCTTAAAAGACAAAAATCTGCTCCTATCAGGGACATAATAAATAGCATATTTAAGCTCTTTTTAGTGTAAGAATTACTTTATAGGAGCCGTATTATTCTCATTTCTATATCATTTGTCCCCCTCTATGATGTAGGATTTATTAAAAAAATGATCATTAAAATGTTTTCAATTTATATTTTTCTCTTTTTTAATGTACACTGTCCCCTCATCCTCAATAAAGGTACAGAGATTGGATCTTAAGGTGAGTATCATTAGTAGAAAAACAAATAACCATTTCAATCTAAATAATGACTTTGCTTCATTTGCTAAAAGAAAAAACTAGTTATGTTGAAAAAGATGTGTATTTTTCTCCAAGTCGAGTATCAAAAGTACCTTAGGGTTAGGTCGAGTATCAAAAGTACCTTAGGGTTAGGTCGAGTATCAAAAGTACCTTAGGGTTAGGTCGAGTATCAAAAGTACCTTCATTGGTATTGGTAACTTCATCAACACTAATCTTGACACCAAACCCGGCCCTAGCCAAATTGGCTCAAATGTGTATTTAACACAGCCTCAACACACTGTTTTGACTGTACACCAGTATTATGTCACAGTCATCGGAGTGCCTTTAAGTGATTACTCTGGGTTGCTTATGTTCCTGAACTTTTTGTTATACAATAAATGTGGCATTTCACTTTCAATGATTAACTCATGTGATGTTTGTCCATGATATACAGCTATCTGTACCTGAGGGGCCCACTGTGGGCTTTAATGCAGCCTCTATGCACATGCTGCTCTACAGTCAAACTAGAACAAAAGTGTTATTTATGTCGAGTGATTTAGGGTAAGGAAATGACTATAAAGATCTTTCTCTATCAGGTTACTACTATTGATTAACCAAAAGTCAGCCCTAAAGTGAAACATGGGCAAACATTTACCATCTTCTCAGATTTCATATCTCATATGCAGGTGGTTTTGTGATTAATAGATAAGATATATGTATTTAGATTCAGCTTGTTTGCATCCAAGTCTTGATTACCCATTTTTTTATGTTGACAATGTGCAGATAAAAGCTGCAATGCTGTTTTTTTTTATGAAAAAGGGTATTTTGAAATACCAAACCGCAAAAGAGCTAATAATAATGAAATCATTCTTGTTTTTTTTTACATTTGCATCACATTTGGATCAGAACCAAAAGACTAAAGCACTTGGTTCAGCACATGTATGAATATAAGTAGCCTCAGACTTGGACTCCCACCAGAACACATCTTGTATTATATTACATGTTCTGACCTTTCTAGATCTAATTCTTGTTGAGAAGACTGAAGGACCTCAACATTTCTGAAAATGGAAGATGAAGAAGTGAGGGCTACAAGTTCAGTTTACCTTGTTTTTGCAGGCTGAAAATGAATTCCATTTCTGTTGAAGGAAAACAGAACACGCATTATTTCAGGTCATAAAGAACATTTTCAGAAAATGCAATACGGTTCTGTTAAAATATGTAATGTCAAAATGTATCATTTCATTTCTTAATGCATCATTTCATACATATAACACTAACATTCCTTAAGAATTGTAGGCACTTAAAGTTATTATCATTAAGATGTTAGTCAATCCAAATGGCAAAGTCTGCCACCATCATTCCCGCACTAGATTCAAACTGCATTAACGCACAGAGGGATTCACAGTAGCTATCCAGCAACAGTTTGTCATTTGATCTCATAAATATAGGACTACATTTCTTCCCCCTTTCTTACTCTCCCTAATCGGATAAAAGCTGTATTAAGCTTCGACTAGACAACACCGAACATGACTTCAGAATGATTCACATTGAAAGCATCCGGCTGCCAAAACAGCTGCTTTAACTGTGACACATTTACAAAAGACGCAATGTATTTGTCACATAGGTTAGCTCTAATTACGACGTTCTTCAATAATGTGTAGGATGCGGGTAATTTTTCTTATCAAAGCAATAATAGTGCCAGCAATACAAGGGTTTGGCAATATATCAACATATGATATTACAAAGACTTTATTATGGATATTCTCATATCGCGTTAGATGTCTATCCTGGTTTAAAAGCTGTTCTAAAGTGATGACATTTTCTAAGATGGACTGTTCCATCTGTTTTATTATTTACCTTTACCCACTTTGTCAGCATATCTACATTACTGGTGATTATTTGTCAAAAATCCCATTGTGTGAGTATTTTGTTAGAGCACCAACAGTAAACTCTCAAATAATGTCACAATATCTATATTGAGGTATATGTATTTGTTCCTCTTAGAGATAAAGAGTCACAGGCTACAGGCAGCACACTTAGAGATTTCAGTTTTAATTGTTTTTTAACAACTTCTTTACTAAAACAATGAAAGTTTGGTGACACTGAACAACCACGGGTGTCCCCAGATCCACCTGGAAATAAATCTCAACCATAACAAATTAAATTATAACCGATAAAGAGTAAGCAGTCAAAGTTACCTTTAGTGTGATAAGTGACAGCAGCTTTAATATCGAAGGACCCCCAGCTGCAGCTCCTGCCAATGTCTTTAGTGGGAGCCTGTTGTTTGGATGAGCCAAACAACACAGTGGTTAGCTGGCCCTGTACAGGCTTAGCACCGTTGTCTTTACCGGCAGCAGAAACAGCAGAACCTGCACCCTTGGCCTCAACTTTTGTCTTCTGCTGGCTACATGGTTGCAGCTTGATATCCTCCTCACTCATCACACACGCAGGAAAACAAGCATTAGACGCATTGCAAGGAGCACAAGTCCTTTTCTCTGGGTCTTGAGCCAAAGTGCCAGGCTCTAGAAAAGAAGGGCTCACATCAAAGCATGGCTGGGCAGCCTTGGCAGCAGCAGCCTGACACTCGCTTTGAGGTGTGACCACAGTAGTCTTGTCCGCTGCAGGCACCTGGCCACCTCCTCCTCCTTCTGGACCCAAGTTGGGGTCATTGATGAAGGAAAGCCCCCACTGATTCTGGAAGATATCTCCCAGGGCTTTCTGATTTGTCTGAGCAGCCGGTGGGTCGAGGTGACGAGCACTAGGGAGCACAGGTTGCATATTTAAAGGGTAAATTAAAAGAGTACACTTTCTAAGCTCATATGCTTCCCCATCTACAGGACTGGTTGTAGAGCTACAGTTACTTTCCAAAGGAGATGCTACATTCTCGCCACTTGAAATAGATGGGGCTGATGGAATACTACTAGCAGCAGGAGCAAAGAAGGTACCCACTGATGGGCAGCCGTTTCCATTTCCAGAAACAGGGCCATTAGTAAAGCTAGCTGAGGTGATAGTTTTCATAGCAGACATGGGGACCTGTGACAGTCTAACCGGAGGAGGCAGTGCCTCTCCTCCACCTTGAGCTACTTTGTTGAGGTTCTCTTTCACTTTACTTGCATAACTGATCTTGGGAACAATTTTTGCACTGCTATTGTCCACAGGAAACACCGGAGGGGGCTTGAACAAAGTCCACGAGTCCTCTTTTGAAGGTGAGGAAAGCTTGGCTTTGTGCCTTTCCTCAGTCTTTTTACCAAAAGTGCCAGCTGTTTTGCCATCAGAGTTTTTCCTCTGAGATTCACCCATTGAAGCCTCTGATACAACAGCCCGTCGAGCTGTTGACTGAGCTTCTACTTTATTTGCTGCTCTAAAGCCATCAAGTCTAGAAGTCACTCCCTTCTCAGTTGTCTCCATATTAAAAGCCACGTGTTCTTGTGTAGTGTTGCCCTGCTGCATGTCTTTTTCCTTTTCTCTTATCACATTATCAGTGTTCTTGGCATTGTTACATCTGGCCTTGCGTTTTTTCGGAGTAGTATATCCACCCTCAGAGCCGCTGCCATCATTGTCCTTGCTAGAATAGCCATTTGTAATTAAGCCACAGTTTACAACGCCATTTTGAAGCAACAAAGAGTCTTTTTTATCCAAAGGTTGGCTCTCATGATGATTCAAATCCAGAGCCTTTTCCTTGTCATTTTTAAGGTCCATATTCTTGTTAAGGTCCAGTCCTTTGCTGCTCACTTTTGGAACAGTCGTGTACAGCTTTTGGGATGATTTCTGCTTCGCATTTGTATTACTTGCGTGTCTGTTACCATTGTTGTTGGGGGGATGTGATATAGGAACAGTATCAGACAGATGTGGATTCCTCTCCCCTTCCTCCTCACTGATGTTTACTTTTTTAATGCCTGAAAAAGAAAACACAATCAGTTTATGATGAAATGATACAAAACCTCAGACATGTGTTCAACTAGCTTAAAGAGAACTGCCCCAACTTGTAAAGGCACTTAATACAAAAACGCTGTGCCAATTACTTTGCCTTTTCCTACTAATACAAAATAGAAGTCATGCAAAGACAAAAAAAAGGTACCACCACAACATATGTTTGGTAAAGCAACAATGAGAAATAGGACCTGCCTGAACTCACAGAACCTAAAAAATGATTAGGATTCTTCGTGTCTATATTAGTCCTTTTTTAAATTAACCCCATTATGAATTATCCAGCTCAATCACATTTGGCATTGCAACTTTTCCTTATGCAAACCACAAATATATATGTTTGGCCTTTTTTTGTGTTCAAAGTTCACTTTCTTTTCTTTTCAGTTAATCAGTCAATTTTTAAGAAAGCAATGTGGCCCAGCATCTTTTAACCAGAGCAGTGAGACAAACAAATAAATTGCCATTGCTAGTTCACGTTGAAGTGTTAACAGAATGGCAAATTCCAAGATGAGCAGCGTGATCACTGTATTTAGCAAGCTATAAGCAATATACCTCACAAAAGTCAACTGCATACTGGAATGTTAACTTGAGATTATCTGATCTGACATCAAATACCAGTTGCTGCAAGATGTAATGGGAGGGTTCACAGCAGCATATATGACATACATTTGGAGTGGCAGTGAACCAGAAATAGGTCTATGCATTGCAAAGAGCAGAGACATGGGCACGGCTGCGTCAACCTAGGGCTTCAAATTCAATGGTGCTGTCCCTCATGTCTGCGGGCACAGCACAAGCACCTCCATACAGCCTGGCTTCAGTTAGTTGTATTATACAGAGGCCCATTATTTTTTTATTTGCATTGCCAGCAAACGTTATGTCGACAGTTACAGTGTCTGTTTAGTTGCAGAAAACCGTATATGTATCAATTGGTCATTATCGAGTTGCTGCGTGGCTTCACGTTGACTGGACAACATGCAACAGGCCTGTCAAAGATGGCTAACGTTAGCTAATGTCAACTAGCCAGGGACTCGTTGGGCATTAGCACGCCCTGGCACCGATAATAGTCGGCTGTGTCGTAAGACAGCCACGTAACACCAACAACATAAGTAGACAAAAGAGACCAACGAAATGTCAGTGTTGCAATGTACCTTGGTTGTGAAAAAAGTATTTAGTAGCCGGGTAACTGTAGCATTAGCTCGCAGTGATATTCTAACATGGCCGACAGGAAATGGCAGCTCAGAACATTCCAGTGTAGCCGGCTCGCTTTCCTAAACTGGACACAAGCATGTTGAAATGAATAAGGTAGATATCTGCCAACTGTTCAACGCGAATCGCCATGCAAGCATACTGGTTAATGCATATATAACACATGGTGACCCAGTCGGATTTCTGAAAGTATTTAGTTGTATTTGCCATAGAAAAACGAGTGTTGAAACCGGCGCACAAGGTCAATCCCCGATATGTCAAACCAGCGACAACTGTCACGCAACGTCAGCTAGCCACCTAGCTAACGTATTGCATGGTCTCTGGTCCAACAGTGGCTAACTGTCGGTCCAATAGGTTAGCCATTCACCCGCTGTAACGTTTCTGAAATTACCCAGGGCACAGCAAATAGTTTGATTTAAAAGCTAGCTGGTATGCTCAGCACTCAATCTGAGCGGAGTTAAAAGCTAGCAAATGCTAGTCGGCTCGTTGACATTAGCTGAGTAAGGCTAGCAAGCGTTAGCTCACTTTTCCGGATGGCCCAACCTGTTTTCTTCGTCTGCGTTTCCTGATGCTGGCGCTGGAAGTGGCTCTGATCATTTTTTAGACAAGTTGTATGTTGAGTAGATTGTCTGTCCTCTCCGTGGTGGTTGTATTGCCTTTCTTGTGCCCGATCTTTGGGCTGTTCCTCCATTGAAGTGTAGAATGTCGGACTTGTTCAACCAATATGTTAGCTCACAGAGTAGGTACGGGATAGTCCAATCACTACCAGTGTAAAACGGAAGCTATTTGAAGCCTCTGTAAACGTCAGCAGTAAACGTCTAAAAATGGCACTGTTTTGGGTGGTCACCGCCACTAAACTCCGTGTCTAGTTTTTGTGCTGAGATATGCAGGGGATGTTTTGCAGAGCTTTTCGGATCTCGGTAGATGATTCACACAAAAATAACGGACACGTGATAGAAGATAAAAAAATCTTTTCGGGGTGGGGTTCGTGTGTGAACTAAAATCATATGACCGGAGGCGCTGCCACGTCTCCAGCCAGTGGACACGTTGGTGGAGGGTCCCTGCGAGAGCAGCCCCTCTCTCAAAATAGAAAAGCAACTTTATAGTCAAACATTCATAATTAATTTCTAACTATGTTACCACATTTCCAATAGAAAAAAGGTATTCCTGTAGCTGTTTTTAAAGTAATGCTTTCTATAAACCATAGTGTGTATTATGTATTTAAAGTGAATTATAATTCATTTATTATTATTCACATGGATTGCACTCTGATGTATTATATAAATATGTACACAACATAGACCTGAATTAATTATAAGTGTTTTAGGATTGCTCTTGACTAGTTTTGAACTAGAGTTTTACTAATGGGGCTTATAAGACTTTATGTACCCATACTCACCTATAATCCCTTCAAGAATGACAATAGCTATGGTTTAAACTAGTCAACAGCATCCATGAGACAAATAACATTCTTTAAAAGTCACATCTTAAATATTTTATGATATTATGATTGTAGTGAGCGCACCACAATGCAACGTGTACTTTAAAAAGTGTAGGAATTAAGCAATATAAATGCATTTTAACTCACTACTGGACTTAAAATCACATCAGACAGTATATTTTACATTTATATTCAATCTAATATGTAATATTCCATTCCTCACATACTTATGTATAATATCCTGCTTTATATTTTGTTACTGTAAATGTGTAATTCAACATGTATATTTTCTACTTTTTTTCTAATGCTATTTTATTTCTATTGAGATGTTTACATTTTGGAATGTTTATTTATTTTAATTGTTATTGTACAATGCCATGTCTTTTTATGCTGCTGCAAAGCAAACATTTTCCAAATTGGGATCAATGAAGTACTTATCTTCTTATCTTATCTTATCTTACTCTGATTGCAAAATGCACTATAGATGTAGTCTTCAATAAATACTATATCATATGTATGTTCACACAAGTTATGAATGTGCTACATGCATCTTCAACCAGGAATTCACACTTCACAACTGTGTGTGGTATTTATATGCTATGTATATTAATTGTTCAGTTTTATTTCCCCTCACAAATATCACCTTACAAATATGTGTATTTAGGTAATTGCCCACATGCAAAAACACATAGAGAGACATATGACTGAGAGGATTATCATCATTGCAAAACATAAACAGGTATTTGTATAATCTTTCTATATTTGATCTTCTCTTACAACTTATTTCCTTGTTGTTTATGTTTGCACAATCATACACCAAAGCAAATTCCTTGTAGGCCTATGTGTCAACGTAACTGGCAATAAACTCGATCCTGATTCTCAGGTTGAATTTAATTGGAATACATTTATGTCTGTTATGTTATATCACACTCTGATTTGATGATCTGGCTCAAAGTATTTGTCTTCTCATGGGTCGGTTCAGGGGATGGGGCAACGGTGGCCAAGACCCCCTGTAACAATGAGCTGTAACCCCCATCCATAAGAGGAGTTTATAATGATGATACAGTTTTAGGTAGCCGAAGTTACCAGGAATGCATTTCGTTTTTCATAATGTCATTTAATAACATTGTAACTACTGAAACAAATTATGTTACTTAAAAATATCACCAATGATGGTATTTAATGTTTTTTGTGTGTGCTATGACTTCATGCAAAGCTATAAATGTTAAAATGTTCATCACTATCTTTGTCTTTTTTGTCCTGCATTTAATTTGCCCCGCTCATAAAATAATTGGCCCCAGCACTGAAAACAAATTCACTCTGAGAGGTGCAGTTTTAGTATGACTCTGGATCTTTATACAGCTCTGGATAATAAAAGCAATTATAATAATTAGACATTGAATATTTAATTATCGTGCAAGTAATTTTTCATTTGTAGAGAAAAGGATGGTTTGTTTAATTGATCATTTCACATACCATACCTCATATATAAATACTCATAGTTCCTCTCCTCACATACTGTATGCGGCTTATATGTGGCAGAATGCATCATGGATCATGTGGGGCATAACAGAGACAACAGCGCCCTCGGGTGGCAGACACAAGGATCGGGTTGTGTATACAGCACTATACTGCACTTCATTTATTGAGTCTCATATGGGATACCTCTTGGTTATCTAATTGTCTATATATTATGTTTTTGTGACTTTAAAGAATATTTTATTGTTGAATACTGGGAGTTAAAACACTGTAAACGGTTTTTTACCCTGTTTTGCCTCCCTTTACCCCATCAACTCAGTACAGACTGCAACTAAGATTAAGTATTCAGTATATAAAGGGTGTTTTTCAGGTACATAAAGGTTCTTCAGATATCATGAACTGCATTTTGTTTATCAATATATATACATAATCTTTTCCATTGATAGGACTCGTTTCATATACATGACGATTCTTGGCCCATCCACATTTTTCGAGGGAAATGTATCAAAATAAAGTCATGACTCGTGACATATAATGACTTCTTAATGTTTAATATTACTTCTTTATGACATTATATACTAAACATTTCCAATTACATACTCTACTATAACTTCTTTATGACATACTATACCAATACTTTTTGAGGACATACCATATTATGACATCAAAAAAGATAAAGTATCATATCGAATGACATTTTTAGTTTTTTTTCAAATGCAACACTTTGACTTATTTTTATATTTTTTGACATACTATACTATTACGTACATATTTATAAATTTAAACATAATCTACCAATACTTTATCATACTATGACTTTATCCATTATATTTTGCACATGTAACTATACTTTTATACATTTTCTTCATAATTTCTTTTTGAATAATGTACTATGATTTTTTTTAATTATTCTTCAAGATACTGTACTATGACATGTTTTTATATTTTTGGAAATACTCTTTTATCATGTTTTAGCCTACCATTCATTGTTATGATATTTTTTGAAATACTTTACAATTACTTTTTATATTTTTACGAAAATATTATACTATGACTTTCCCAATAATAATTTTACATACTACTACTTTTATATTTTTGGAAATAATTTACTTTTTTATGACTTACTATACAATTACTTATCATAGTGTGTATTTTTATGACCTGAATTTGTGAGTTTATTAATGATATTTTTTGACAAAATATATTAAGATTTGTTTACGATCGTATTGACATATTATACTATAACTAGTTTTAGTATTTATTTGACGTGCTATTCTAGGACTTTATTCTGATGTTTTTCAACATACTACACTATGACTTTTTCCATTTAAATTATTATTTTATTCAGACATCCATTCATCCATTTGCAATACCAATGTAAACCACTGATATATCAATATTATGTGCAATAACAATATTTATTTTTCATACATGTTTATGATTTAGTTAGTCTACTGTTGTATTTATATTTTCATTTATTTCATTTAACTGTTTAAACTATTAATTATGTTTTTCCTGTTTACTGATTTAATATCTTGTTTTTTGCTTTAATGGTGCCTCTTGTTGTTGCACTGTCCCATTTGCTGCAGTCAAACGAAACATGTCCCTGCAGTCAAACTAATACAATATTATCTTAGATCATGATTTCTCTTTTTTATGACATACAAAATAGTTTTTTTTATGCCTTACTTCACTATGTCTTTTTTTCTAAGAGATACTATTTGAATACCATACAATGACTTTTAGATATTTTTCAATATACTATTTTATTACTTTTTTCAATTTTCTTTGACATAAAACTATGACTTTTTTCCGTATTTTTTCAACATATTTAACTTTTTAGACATACTATACTAAGACTTCTTACATACATTTTTCAACATAATTTACATGACTATTTTTCGACATGCTATACTATGATTTTAAAGAAATATTTTTACTATTTGTGTCATACTTCAGATTTAGCGAACCAAATAAATTCAGATATTTTCGACCAACCAAACAGTGACGATTTTTCTGATATTTTCAACATACTGTACTATGTTTACTTTCCTGAAATTCTATGTCGTTTTTTGTTTATAATGTTTTGTGGCACAGAAGGAAAGAGGATTTTTTTCAATGTCCAGGTTGAAGGTTCAAATCCCAACCCTGCTGTCAACATGTGTATGTGACCTTTGGCAAGATATTTAACTACTAATCTTATTTATTTTGAAAACACATTTTTCGACATACTATACTATGTTGTTTTTTCTGACATTTTCTAGATACTACAGTTTACTATGACGTTTTCTTTCAGAAATGTTCGAACATACTATATACTATGACTTCTTATTCTGAAAATGTTGACATACTATACTTTGACGTTCGACTGAACAATCAACACTGCTCCCAGTAAAGCACACACCATGATCTCAATCATATGTTTATTCTTTCATTCAGACATGACATACTGTACTAAGTACCATATTGTAATCTTCACTTTTGTACAACAGTATTTGTGACATACTATTTTGTGTTCTTAAGGCATACTTTACCATTAATTGTTTACTGTTTCCTTGTTTTAATTCCTAATGATACTTTATATATTAAGATAAGCTCAATGTAACAGAAAACATTATTAGCGTTTAATTTAGTATTTGTACATTTCTCAATAAAACAGTAGCATACGTATGAACCTCTTTCAATAACTTTATCTAGCAGTAAAGAACATTGCAAAAATCAAAAGTCATTTTTATATTTCATCCATGATGTCCGCACATATTCTCTAATCTCTCATTTCCTCATTGCTATTTACAGTATAAAAAGAGACCATTGATGCTTCACAGAGACTTAATGTGCTGATGTATGCAGCCCTGTCATCCTACTGTATGTGGCAGCTACATTTTAAATCAAATATTAATGACAGCTTCACTTTATTGCAATATTTATTTTTAAAATGAGGCGAGGTTTCTAGAAATTGTCTTCGTCTCAGGGCATTCATGCACATACATTATGAACAATTATAAACCCGACAGAGGAAAGTATTAGAGGGAAAACATTTCTAGCAAGATTATGCTTTTCACCATTAAAGAATTTCATAGTTTGACTTCATGGCTGATATTAAAGTCCCATCCTTTGGTTTAGACCCTGCATGCTGTTATATTTGGACTGTAGACTGCAAAACAAGTGTACTCATTATGTATTAGGGTACAAAGCATTTATTTTATATTGACCAACAAAGGATTTCCTTTTTTGTTTCTAAAGAAAAAAAAAAACAGACAGTTTATACTCAGAGTGTTACTTAGTCGGGTTAAACACTGATACACCTGGCATTGTGCAGACCTGAGGAGACCTTAGTACATTATGATCACTGTTCCCATGTACCCTGATGGTGGTCGAGGTTGATTAATGATAAAAAACATATCTTCTATATTTGGCTATGCTTTGCTATGCCATTATATCAATATATAGTAACTTCATAAAATATCTGGACAATATCCATCAGTCCTTCAGGCATTAAATGCCGTAATTTAATATGAAACACATTTCAAAAACAGATTATTCCAGTTCTTATTACACAAAGGAGGGTTAGAAATGTGAACTGATAAATATCATGTCTGTAAGAAAATAAAGAGCATTCAAACCTGGATTACCGAAGCCTAATAAAATACAAATAAAATATATGTATTTTCCTTTAATGTATTTCCCAGGCCTGTAAAGTAAAGTTGCTACTTTTGTAGTGACATGTTATTTGTCTTGGTGGTAAGAAACCTGTGTTATGGGAAACAGTTGACAGCAGGAATATTAGAATAAAAAAATGTATGCCTGTAGAGGAAGTGCTTCAGTGAAGTTACAGTATCTGGCCATACAGACATTTCCCGTAACAAATTGTGAGGTGATATACTTAAGACGCATACTGTACACTGATGTGCAATGTATAAACCATCAGTGCGGAGAAAAAGTGCATTTCTTTTAAATTATTCAAAGTTGAAAGAAACCCATGAATGCTTCCATGTCATAGAAATGTCCATGGCACTGGACATGCAGTCACAACGCATCTGCAGGGCTCCGCTGAGGACTGTAAATGTTTCAGTGAGGAAAGCAGGATTCAAGGTATCCGCTGTGTTCACAATCCAGTCCTTGTGTCCTCACGGCGCGGCTAGAAGGTCTTCATGCCGCAGGACTTTGTAGGTGAGCCAGTAGAGGACATTAAACATGAGGAAACTCATGGGGAACACAGCCCGGGCGATGGTATCAATCCTTTTTGCTCGATCCACAAAGCGCTTGCGGATGTCGTAGAAACCCAAACCAGGAGGTAGATCGGCAGAGACCGGTGCATCCATTTCTGCCACACCTACTGATGACAGCGCAAGTCCATAACTCTGGAAGAGGAAACCCTGGTTTGTCATTTCATCCTCCTGGAAAGAAAAAGACACAGTAAAGAATGGCCCAATCAAATCTTCAGCCTAAAGCTTAAACCCTGAACCTTTAAGCCCTTAAGTACCATAGGAACCTACACTACCTCACAGGATATATTTAACTCTTCATTTTAAAGGTCACCTATTATGCAAAATGCACTTTTTGATGTATTTTATACATAAATATGTGTCCCCGGTGTGTAACGAGACAGAAAATCTATTTTCCTCCTTACCCACATCTAAAAAAAAAGGGGGTACAACGGAGCTGATCCAGATTTGCTGAGAACTTGACGTCATTACTGAAATGGGCTGGCTTTACATTGAACTCCTGGCAACGTCCCGCCCCCCTCTCAACCTATCGTCCCCATATACAGTTGACTATGTGCTGTATCAGAAACAATGCGCAATGTGTTTTGGAAGTAATATGTTCTGTGTTTACATTAGCAAGCATTGCTAACACTCAGAGCTAACGCTGTACTGGAGAGAGTATGTTTAAAGAAGCCGGATATAAAAGGTACTGTCCTTGTGGTAGACCCGCGAGAGAGAAAGCGTTTGAGCTCCATACTGTTTCAGAAATAATGCTTGATGTGGTTTGGAACATAAAATGGCGTTTAATCACTGCTTGCATGCGGACTCTCTACAGCAGCTCGGTTACATTTAAAGGGCCAGACCCAGAATCAGCACTTTAGTAACAGGGCTGAAATAGAGGGGTGTGAGGCATGCTACAATGGGTGAACTGTTTGGTAATTTGAGCAAAACACTTCAGATACATGTTTTGTATAGATATGGCCCTATAATATATTGTTCAAATATAGCATAATAGGTGACTTTTAAATATATATAGTACACTGTGTTTATATGTTTGGTAGATTGGCATATTAGAGAGTATTCTAATGTATTCTGTATATTCTAAAGTGTTTGGATACTCCTCTGAATGTGTGTTTCTTACTGAGAATATTGTTTTTACATTTTTATTTTGTTATGGTTATCTTTATTTGATTTGTATTATATTCTATTTTTAAGAAATGTTGTAATTATTGTACAGTAGATTGACTGTCAAAATTCTGCTGTGACAAAACAATCTCCCAACCTGGGATAAATAAAGTATCTTAGTCATGTCACCAAGTGTCTGAGAGTGTCAGGCGGCACAGATTTGAAGTGGTTTACATCGGAATCATCATGTTACCATGGCAATGTCAAAACCTGTTATGCACACTTTTAGTTTAAGGACTTTTTTGACCTTTTTATACCTTCTTCAAGGACCATTTCTATTGCAGGCTCACTCTCAAAGTGAAGAGGTCGAATATTACATCTACACATTTTTGCGAAAACAGCAATTTAGTATAAAATACTTTAGCTTATGCTTGGATTCCCCTCATTTCATTTGTTATGTAGCATCTTAAATCATTAATGTTTCCGTGTGAATTAAACATGCCATGCTAAACTCTTTGTGCCAATCGTCCTTGTTTATGATTTTTAAATGCTTCCCCTGCTAACTGTTTTTCTCACGCCAAAATGCTGTTCATTTTATGCAACTCCCTCATTCAAAGTCAGCAGAAATGTTTAAGAAAGTTCAGAAAGCACTCAAAATGTCTGCGAGAGAACCGCACTGTGTGACCCTTAGGATTTACTGGGAACTCTCCGTTAGTCTTTCAGTGTGGAGATTTAGGATGAGCCAATAACTTTCTGCTCTGAGAATCACACACCTGTACACTGATTGGCTGCTTTTAAACTGAATCAGAACCAAAATCAGGTTTACTGCCTAGCAGGCAGTGGTGTAAAGTAACTAAGTAGACTTACTCAAGTACTGTAGGTACAGTAAGTACAATTTTGAGGAATTTGTACTTGAGTATTTACATTTTGTGTTGCTTTGTACTTCTACACCACTACAAACTCAGAGGTAAATGGTGTACTTTCACTCCACTAAATGTATTTAATACCTTTAGTTACTTTGCAGATTTTGATTAATGATGTGAAATATAATCAAGTGTTAAATCAGACTTTAGTTCCATCTGGAGTAAATTCACAAGCTACCCTGTAGTATACAAAGTCATTCAAACTAGCTGCACCTTTACCAGCTTTGATAACACTTTAATGATCAATCATTATAAAACATATCATATATATTATTCTGAAATTGACCTGCACAATGAGTACTTTTGGTACTTTAAGTATATTTTGATGCTGGACTTGTAACAGAGTATTCGGGTACTTCTACTTTTACTCAAGTACAAAATCCGAGTACTTCTTCCACCACTGCAAGTAGGTTAACACATACGTACAAGCAATTTGATGCAAGACAATGCAAGAAATGTAAATACACAGCAAAGTAAATCCTGTGAGACTGTGACAGTAGAAGGAGCTCCAGGTGACAGAACGTACCTTGGCGCAGGCGGAGCACTGCTGGGAGACGTTCCCGTGAGGAGTGTTGTTGCCTGACATGTTTTTTCCTTTCGACTTACTGTCACCGCTTCCCTGCTGATAGGGGGAGGGGGGGGGCACACAAATGTAATCAATGTAATCATCAAACAGGCTGCATTGATTTGCAAACATGGCACAGTGCTATGTGTTCAAATCTGCATCAACAAGCATCTGTTGCAAACAAAGTGAACACAAGTGCGACATTAATGTGAAATGAGACCACGTGGCAGCGCATCCAGAAAACATCTCAGCAGCACGCTCCTGACAGACGAATAAGAACAAAGGATTCATGCAGATGTTTTGTGCATTGTCTTATAAATATTACAAGGCATTAATGAGTCCTGCAGCTGCTGTCACACTGCTTCTTTTTGAGAAATATTTCCTCTTTAAACATGGTTTGGCCTACTTTGTCTCCTCTATTTTTCTTCAACAAGATGCTGAGAACCGTGGAATAAGGTGATGGTTAGAATGAATCACAGGTCAGTGCTGCTGCAGTTCCCGGCTCGCTGCAGCTGAGTCGTGCAGCTCGTGCATGGCTGGGCGCAGAGAATAACAGGTGACAGTCGCCCGGGGGAGCTGAGTGGGTGGGGTGCACTCACAGTTCTCTGACGCTGTTGCTCTTTGAGCTTCTTCCTCAGTCTGAAGAACTCCTTGTGCTGCCGTGAAACAAAATTAACGGCCGCATACTCCAGCAGCGCGGCAAACACGAAGAGGAGGCACACCGCCATCCAGATGTCTATGGCTTTCACATAGGACACCTGTGACACAGAGCAGAGGAGTCATTAGATAACATGAGCACTCATGCCATGTTAGGCAGTGACATGAAAGACATGGGATAACAAACTCTGTGGAAAGAGCTACATGTTGGATCACCTTGTTATCATTGGTTTAACAAAGAGGTGGAAGAGGTTTTACATAACTACATTTGAAAAACTGTTCTGTAAAAACTAAAAAATTATGTAAAACTATTTTTTAAAGTCCACAAGATTTGACTATTATTAATAACATGTATTATTATCATTGATGCATCTAAATGGGAACTGCGGTAATTAATGTTGTAACCTGTGGAAATGTTTCATATTTTATAAACCAATGAAATATTTTGTATATATAATCTTATTAGGAAAAGTAACTAGTAGCTATAGATGTAAAATACATGCAGTACAGTATAACAATCCCCAAGTTTGCATCATTGATAATACAAAGATTGAAATACACTTATCATATACATTTTAATTTATACAATTTTGATTGAATATTACCATTTAATGTGTCTCTATAAAATAAAAACAACTGCTGCAGAAACATATGATAAGCATATGTATGAAATGCTGCATATCATTATTGATGTAGGTTTTACTGTAAAGCCCTACATAAAGCTGGACACCTTAATAATCCATATAAAAGAATATTGTATTAGTCTGAATAGAAGTTTTGATATTTAAAGTACAGTTTAGAGTACAATCATGAATATTAATAAATTGCGCCCAATGCTTTTACTTGTAATGGAGTAGTTTTAAATTATGGCATTGGGACTCATTTTAAAAAGAAATGGAAATAACATATTGAATTCCTAGCCCAGTGCAACATAAATACAGTTTGAGAATGAATTGTTAAAAAAAACCTGGGCGTCAAAGACTGTTACAATAATTTGTAAAGTAGAAACATGTACAGTGCTGAAAAACACTTCTTCCTGATATCATCCCAGACTATATAACACACAGTGAGTAACTTGCTTTGGTTTGTACTGTGAGATGTTGGATAGCTAACCCTCTGACCTTTGGCAGGGAGGCCCTGGAGCCAGAGCTCTGCGTCGTCATGGTGAGCACCGTGGTGATCCCCAGTCCCACCCTGGCCGGAGCCGCGTCCATGTTGATCCAGAAGGACACCCAGGACAGGATGACGGTGAGCAGGCTGGGGATGTACATCTGGATCAGGTAGTAGCCCATCTGCCGCTCCAGGTAGAATTTGACCTCAATGCAGGTGAATTTACCTAACCACAGGGGGAGATACAGGTGCACACTGACAGTCTTATTAGAAGTAGATTTACAGAGCTGATGGAGGATGTTGCTCCGCAGGTGGTCACGTGTCCTGTACCTGTGTTGTAGTGCTTGGTGCAATAGCCCAGGCCTTTCTCCTCCTTCAGCACAAACTGAGGGAGGGTCAGGTCGTCGGCCACCTGCACGGCCCCCACATCCAGCCACTCGAAAATCAGATCGTTCATGGTGTAGCCGACTGCAGGAGCACAGAGGGAGGGGAGGCCGGTGGTTATCCATCATTCAAACTTCAATTCGCTGGTTAGGGATGCTGTGAGGATTTCAATTGCTATGCCACATGCTTTGAATCTTTGTACATCATTATTTTCAGAGACAAGAAATCATAGTCTAATGATGTACCTAAAACGACATTTGAGTCTGTTGAGCGTCTACAACCTTGCTGGGAATTATGAATTGGTTGGTTGGTAGAAACAGAAAGAAATATTCTGTTTTATATTTTGTTTTTAACCACTTATTTACAGTCTATTTAGCTTCTATGTTTCATACTATAATATAGCTGGGTCAAGTACTTTTCTTACTTCTCTTTATTTTAGTCGTCCAGAAATGTTTTGATTTTCTTGCAAAAATCCCAATGTGATATATCTCTTATGCGCCTCTATTTGCTATTTATGACATTAATATTTCTCACTTTTTAAAATGTATTTCTGAGACACTTCCAGATGAAGGGCAGTTTAAAATCTACTTTAAAAGTCTGTTCTTACCAAACACATCTATCATCCTCCTACAAATAATATTCCATCACAAACAAATACACACCAAACTAAAATAACATTTCCTGTCCTTTATTTTATATGTATTATTATCTTTACTGTGTTTATTATATATTGCTCTAATATTTTGCAATATTAAAGAAGTATGAAGTCAACAGTTTTTTTAAATTATTCCTGCACTGTATATTATTTGTAATTTGATATGTTTTGGGTATTTTCAAATGATGCATATACACTTTAATTTAAGGTTTTCAGAGTGTATTGGAAAGATCCACTCACAGCTCTCCAGCTGCATCGTGCACTTCTGGCTGTCCATGGGGAAGTTCTTCAGATCCATGGGACAGGAAAGGACAAGTGTCAGCCTAGAAAAGAGAAACAGCAACACAGGAATGGCAGTGGGATGGAGTGTAAAATGAAAAGGTGATGCCCTCTACACACACCCAGCTAGCCCACAGCAGTAAACCCACAGCAGCAGCCGCCTCCTACCCATCTGTCACTCAAACTCTTTCCGCAGGCTCACACTACCCTCGAGTCACAGGAAGCCGCTCTGACTGTCCTCCTCTCCAGTTTTCTACTCCACTGCACCCTGCATTAACCACACAAAGGCTAAGAAGTGCTGACAGGCAGATGCCAGCCTTTACGGAGAGTCAAATGGATGAGAAACATAGCAGCACAATCAGAGGGAAGGGTTTCATTCAAAGTACGGAAGCCCTTTTTTTATGTGATCCAAAATAGTTTCTCTCTTGGCTAAAGAACGGGGTGGAATAGTCTTTTTGTTTTAGTGTTACATTTTTTTCTGTTACGTTTTCTAGCTAGTTTTGGACCAAAGAGGCTAAAGTGCACAACTACTTCATGTTCTAAATAGTTGTGTTGTTTTCCAAGTGAGTTTGAATTTCTACCTCCACTTAAAGTCCCCCTCACCCAATACTATCAATGAGCAGGTTATAACAACACTTTTATTCAAGAGTATAACAACAAACAATTTGCCTGACAAAAAAACGTTTCACTATCAGCAGATTTTTCTCCCTGGCCTTTCAAGGCTTCCGTACTCAAGACATATCAAATCTAAAAAAGGACCCTTTTCCTATATAGAGGGGCGGGCAAGGTCTCCCAAACATGAGCAATAGGAGCAACACTGCAAAGAAGAGGAATTCATCTGTAGATATAGGGGCTAGCCTAATGTGGATAAATGGATAAAGGCAGAATTCTTTATCCATTTTCAAACTTTATGACCCTGTTGTCTTATGGGAGGTTGTTCCAGGTTGATACCCTGCACTCAGTCGTCCCTTTTGAAGTTCAATTAGGGAAGCTACTGTTTCTTTAGTTTCCCAGGGTTGCTAATAGAGCTTTACACACTGCTTCATCTTTCTTCTATTCTAATGAACTCCATTACGCTACAATTCACCACTGCTTTAGTGCCACATTATGACCCAACTCTGTTTTAGCCTGCAGTTATTATTCACAGTGGGTGCTGGTCAACACAATGACAGCTGAGCTGAACTGGAGTGAAACAAACATGTTGTTGGAATATCCTCAGAGGCTCGAGACTACAACTTCATGTTCTGTCGACGGCCTTAAAACGCCATGGAGCTGGGTTTGTAGAGCCAGATAGAGGAACATCCTGGTGCATTATAAACTCAGAGTGGATTTATAGATCATTAAAAGCAGATCACCTGATGCTGTAGAGGACGTTTCCGTTGGAGAATATCCTGAGCAGTTTGTTGTCTGTTGTGACCTCGTGAAAGTTAGCTCCCTTTTCATTTGCAAAGAACAGGTCAGGCTTCCAAATGGAGTCCAACATGGAGGGGTCCAGGTCCAGAGAGTCGTCCGGATATTCCTTATAGGCCAGTCGGGGGTCATTCCACTGCTGTCGCAGAAACACATTGAGCCGGTAGTCCTGTATAGAATTAAAACATATTGAGGAATTCATATTAAGAGTTATAAATGACTAAAATAAAAGATATAGCCATAAGTGGTTTAAGTTTCTTGCCATAGTAGAATCATATTGACATTTTAAAGGTAAATCATGTTATGCATTGTTTAATTCATTATGTATTGTAATTTAGTTGGACCATGTTATTCTATTTTACATATTTTAAATGAATCACTTATGTTATTGTATTTCAATTGTACCATTGTATTACATTTTATTGTTATTTAATCAATATAGCTTTAATTTACAGTGTTTTATCTTTAACGGTCCACATTATTTTTCTGCTAGTCAGTCATCTGCAAAGCAAATCGCACTGCACTAACCTGTACGAAAGGTGCTAAACAAATAAAGTTTGAATTATTGATTGATGGCATTTCAAAAAATCTTTTTTTGAAGCAAAATGCAAAAAAAAACTGAAAACACAACACAATTCAAAATCAACCTTGCTGAGTGTCCTGTGGCACCACATGACATGGATAACTGCTTCCAGCTGACACACTGAGGGTATACATCAGGAATTGAAGAGGCCCTATTGTGCTTTTAGGGTCTTTGCTTTCCTGTATTGCGTTTTATAGGTTTTTCTGTAAATGGTCTGCAAAGGCTCAAATGTGCAGACCAGTGTGTTTCTCCCCCCACACACCCAATCCCCCCCAGCCTGAAATGCCTCTAATCATCTCTCTAAGCGGTTGACCAATCACAATAGAGCCGTCCAGCTAACCAATCAGAGCAGACTGGGCTCTGGTTTCAGACAGAGGGTGAAAAGAGGTGCTGCAGCACAGGCAGTATGAGAAAAATAAAGAGCTTTCTGAACATTAAAGCATGGAGACATGTCACAGTGGAGACACTACATACAAATATGAACTTACAAATGAGTATTATAGATGCCCCTTTAACCTAGTTAGCCCTGTGCATCACTTTTTACTGTGCCCTGGTTTCCATAAGGTTATGTTTTCTGTATTTGCAGCTTGCGCTAGTGAATAATTTTCTCTTGCTTGTCTGTTTGCATAACTCTCTGCCCCTAAGTATTGTGAGAGGGCTAAGATCATGTACACTGGAACAAGTCTCAAGCCAAAACAAATTAACCTGCAGCGCATCGCGCGCGCACCCAAACTCTCTCTGCGCAAAGATAAATAAATGAATGCTGACAAACAGACTTGAGTGCTCATAACTTGAATGACAGAAAACCCCACTTACAATTTCATTATTTAAAATATGACTGTGCCTAGAGGTATTTTTGCAAAAAGGATGTCTTTCTAAGGGAGTAAAAAACAAGACCTCTCACTAAACCCACTCTTCAAAACAGGATTTGTCCTTACCTGACAGACGGAGAGATAAGAACATCCTAGCTGACATTTTGTAATGAACGTACAAGATGGTGTTAAAGCCATACATTACTCATCATCTAATGACACTATGTGTAGGCATCATTAAACCTGCTCCAAAGGGAAGAAGAGCCAGAAAATAAAAAAGGATCTGATAAATGGGCAGGCTTGTATTATTACAAAATCAACAATAAATGATGATAGATTAAGCTATAGAGCAGTTTGTAAAGTAGGTTAAAATAGCATTGTCTTTACCAGCTGCATTATAATAGTGATTTTTACACTTGCATGTTTAAAATATGATTCTCAGATTGGCCGTACTGCATTCATGTTTATGTACTTTTTACATTTTTTATTCAAAGAGTAGCAACGAAGAAAACCTCTGTACTTTGTCCCCCACAGTTTTAACATGATTCTTACCCACATAAATCCGTGGCACATATTCACACAGCCTCTGACATACGGACGACAAAATGACTATGAAACTGACTGCTCCAGCATCACTTTTAACCGTGTTTCCTGTAAAAGTCCTGACAGGAAACTGTTTAAACATTGTATTGCCCTTGCTCTGCCATCTTTAGAATCATTTGAAAGAACAACAGGTCAACATCGTCTATCGCTGACAGTAGAGGACTAGAGATAAGCCCATAGAATGTTGACTTTAACATCCTCTTTTACGCACTGGTCCAATATTGTGATATTGGCTATTTTGCCTCCATAACATATCTTCTTTTTAAAGGGGCCCTATTATGTTTTTTTTGTTCTCCCACACACCCCCCGTCCTGCCTAAAATTCCTCGATTGGACTCCTTACTTCCGTAACATAGTGACATCATAACAATTGCACTTCAATAGAGTGGTGCAGGGATGAGGTATTTACCCGGAAATAAACTGCGCATGGGTTCCCTTGACAAAAAAGCAATGGGATTTCTCCATAGGATTTTGGAAAATAGCTAAAAATAAGGTCTGTGGAAAACGAACCTGTTTGATAAATGCACGTTTTGTTCAGCCGGATAATATCCACATGTCTACCCTACTTTTATCATTTTCGAATTATGAATCTAATCGCCTGAAGCAAAATGCTAACGTTATGCTATAAACAAACAGCTGAGTACAGCAGGGTCGCACGACTTCAACGTCACGCCAACTTAAGATCCATATTCAAAAATACAGATTCAGAATTGTACAAGTTGAAGTGCTTGTTTTAACAGTTTGCAAGAGCGCAGGTACTTGCTTTCAAGCAGAACAGGGGCAAACAAACTTAGCGGGAGTGTTTACGTGTTCCTCGTCAACTTCTGTAGTCCTATTCAGCCACTTGTTAACAACCATCGTTTTTTAGACACGCAAACTCTTCAAGAATCACCAGTGGGGTCACTGCTTATGTATTTAATGTCGTAGAACAAAACGTGATCCGTCTCTTAAATTTGTGTCAAACACAGAGCTTATTTCGAGCTATTTTCCCAAAATCCTATGGAGAAATCTCGTTGACTCTGAGACGAGGGAACCGGGAGTGGTAAAATGCTAACTCACTTCCGGGTTTTAGGACTCGTCACTGCACCACTCTATTGGCTAGTGGTTCAACATATTCTATGTGATGTGAGGCTAAGGGGCGGGACATCTGTAAGCGGTTGACCAATCACAAAAGAGGTGGCCAGCTAACCAATCAGGGCAGACTTGGCTCTGGTTTCAGACAGAGGGTGAAAAGAGGTGCTGCAGCACAGGCAGTATGAGAAAAATAAAGACCTTTTTAAACATTAAAGGTCCCATGTCATGGCCATTTCTACTGATCATAATTCCATTGTTGAGGTATACTAAAATACATTTATATTGTGCAATTTGCCAAACTCACATTGGTTTCTCATACAGCATCTCTGTATAGTATGTGTATTCACTCTCTGTCCTAAACGGCTTGTTGGAGCTCCTGCCCCCCCCCCCCCCTGTGAGCACAGTGGCCGTCTGCGAGACAGCGAGACACAGCGAACCCCAGCCCGAAACACACACACACCCGCAGCATTCCGCTGTGTCTCGCCGACCCCACACCAGTGAGCCAGCTCACAGTGTGCCGCTCCTCGCAGCAGCGAGGCTCGCAACGTCCCGCCGAGTGTGTGTGTGTGAGGAAGTTCGCAGATTGGTCCAAACGTAACGGCTCCGCGGACGTAACGTAACGGCTCCGCGGATTGGACCAATCTGCGGAGCCGTTACGTTACGTCACTATACCCGAAATACGTCACTATACCCAAGAAGTAAACAATGGACAAGAGAAATCTCCAACGAGGCGTTCTGGGGCAGCATAGACAGGTCTTTTCTGTGTTAGAGTTGTACTCGCTACAGGGTGTACTTTGAGGGTTTGTGACTCTGCAGACCGTTTACATGCAGAAAAACCTTCATAACACACGGGGTACGGGTAATAACCAGAAAAACATGACATGGGACCTTTAAAGCATGGAAACATGTCACAGTAGAGGCACAAAATACAAATATGAACCAGAAAATGAGCATAATAGGGCCCCTTTAAATAATGAAAACAAAGATCCAAAATACACATTAAGGTTTTCATCTGTAGTTTTCTTCTAAGTTTCCCCAAAGTAAGCAGCACATAATGCCTTTGAGAAAACATATTAGTATTACCCTTTTACCTGAGTTTTACATTACATATCTGTTTCCCTCAAAATTAGTTGTTTGTACTGTATAAGCCAGAAATCTTTAATTGAATAGTACTTACATACAACAACGTTAACTAGTTCAATTCCTTTTTAAATTTGGAAGTTTTTACAGGGGGGCTTGGTCATATATCCTTCATAGTACTAATAGATATATCTAATTTTTCCTCTGTAAAAATGTTTGATTATAATAAAATCAAGACTTTGAACCTAGGTTTATCCAATGTTGAATTTGTATTAATTTCTACTAATTAAGATAATGCCTCATTTGCATTTTGAAACATAATGTGTGCAGAAACATGTCATACAATATCATTTTCTTGATGCAAATGGGGAAGTTTTATGGTGATGTCCATTGGTTGAAAAAGCAGATTTTCATCACCAGTATATCATCCATAAAAAGTATGATAAAGAAAATCCTCACCATGGTTGTTTCAGTGATGGATCCGAAGCTGTTGATGAAGATGTTGCAGGTGACGTTGACAGGAGGACCTGACAGAAGCAGATTGTCATCACACATTACCCTCACAGTGATTTCTTCCAAAACACTCCTGATGTTTTTCTGAGCAGACCGCATGAAGTATTGAGGGCAACTGAGGAGCAGAACGTTTCAGGCAAAATCTCTCTCCTCTGCTCGCTCATAATGTGCCATGTTGTGTCCTGATAAATAGACTTTTCTAAGAGGAGCAGCATGACATTGTGTTGTCATCTCCAGTACGCTCCCATTAGTGTAGTATCCGTGGACCAGCGAAAACTTTAAATATTTTAGGGACTCATTCCTTCAGAGGCAATGATTTATTGATTCCCCTTTAGTTACATTAGTGTATTTATAGATAATCAGCTGGGATTTTCCCCACCATGCACTGACGAAGATGTGGAGCAAGTATGAAAAAAATATGATGTGTGACCCCCAGAGAGTGAGGGGGGGCGGGGGGAGTATGTCAGAGAGGATCTGCATTGGACTGAAATGGGCCTGTGGGGTAACATATGAGGGGAAGTGCACATCTATGATAAATCTCAACAAGAAGTCAGTGTAAAATAATCATCACCTACGGCTGTGGGTCAGAAAGAACACAGTAACAACACATGACAAACACAAGCCTGCAGCACCTCTTACTTCTGCCCATCTGTGGGGGACTTGTGCTACTTCACTGCCCAGATTGCACCACCAAATCACGGTTTCCCCACACCTGTCCTGTGCCGCCCCCCACCCCCCCCCCCACGTCACACAGCCTTACCTTTGAAGTTGGGTCTGATGCGGGCGTCGTAGCCGGATGTGCGTCCCATCAGTTTGTCCAGAAAGCCAGACGGGGAGGGGGGCTTGGCTGCCCTGCTGGGGAGCTTCATCTCCTTACAGAACACAGACCTGCAGGGCGACGGGACAAACTGTTATCATTAATACATGATTATTTCCCCCTATGCTCTTTATTTATGTCATTACTTAAAATAAAAAAATAAAAAAATGTAAATCATAATACATTTGATTTATAACACTTATAATATAAAAAACTCTAAATGTATTACAAGTACTAAATATTGTTTGGGGTAAATCATATTATATAACTCAAATATTACTTTTGGAAAGATACCTTACTATAACTACAAACAATGCTAAATATGGTTATTTAAATAATATGACTTTAGCTGGAACAGCACATGCATTACAACTGCAGTAGTTACAAAACATGGTTTTCTCAACTGTTAATACATTTGTAATAAACTATACTATTAAAAAAAATATTTATGATTTCACTATTTTAGCTTAATTATAGACAAAGTTAAAATGGTCAGATTATTTATGAAATGACTTCAGCACACGTCTTAAAAACTAAGAATTATCTTCTTTTCTGGCTGTTCAGTATGTTCCTGCATCTCACAATAATCAACATTTTGTAGTCTTTGAATTTTAAATCAACATATTTAATGCATCTCAATTCAACATCTTATTCCTTATTATTTGTAATTATATACCTGTCAATGTCAAAGCATTTAAAATACAGCACACACCCATGTATTAACATTCCAACGGCTGATTAAAATGCATACAGCTTTCACCGACAAATAAGTTTAGCCAGGTTAACAAAGTATCTTACCTGCCGTGCAGAAGAATGAGAGAAGCCCAAACTATACACCAGATGTGCAACAGCATTTTAAGTTGGTAGAAAGAACAGCTGTAGGAGCGATGGAGGGAAGAAGATGAGAGCCGAGGACTTGTTGTTGCTCCTCAGACTGACTGTGTTCTCTCCTCCTCCTCCTCCTCCTCCTCCTCCTCCCTCTCTGCAGGTGCAAAACACAGGAAGCAGCAGCTGTATTATTCACAAAGCCTGGGTTTGTGTGGATGTCTTCAAGCTTTATCTCTTTTTCATGGCCATGTGCATGTTCAAGGAATTACTGCAAGAATATTTAAAGAGACAGGAGCATTTCCAGAGTGGCCAGTATCCCCTCCCTCCCACCAGGGCATCAGATTAGCAGTAATACCTTTTACGTTCAATTAAACTATTTATAAGAATACAATATTTAAAGATAAAATAAAACATTATTGTATGTATATCTTGTTTAACTAATGTCCAACAATTGCCGAGTAATGACAAAGCACTGCAAGAGATTAATAAATTAAATCTAGAAAAAAGTCTTGCCAAATAGATTATTGTCCTTAAAATGATTTACATGTATGTCAATTCTACATTTCACTTAAAAAACAACATGGTATATAATGTCCTTTAGGGTGGCTCGTCTACAGAAGAGATCTGATCATTTAAATTAAGACTAAATAGTCTACAATTATAAAACATGCTTAATCACATCCTCCTATTTAGGACAAATTCAGAGAAAAAGCAGCAAAGTGTAAAGCGAGATTGTCGTTGCATTAAATATATGATAAATATGAAATGCATATTGCATATATATATATATATATATATATATATATATATATATATATATATATCGACTAACTCAAGTGTAAGACGTTCCTTTAAGTGTCAGCTAACATCCAGAGGTTATTTATGTTAAGCAAAACTGTCCCATGTTTCCCCGTCTAATTATTTCCTCTGCAGATCGCCAGGCGAATTCAAATACAAATGTGGAAGCTCATGTTTATTCCTCCGTACAGAGGGGGAGGCAGTTCATCCATTTACTCATAAAAAATTAACGTCAAAGATGGGCGATGGGACGTTATGGCTGCACGTGTTCCGCCTCACACTTGAAACGCTGTTCACCACACCAAAGTGTCAAAAAGGATAAGAAATGTGTGGGGATGCAAACATGAATGCAATCCTAATAACAAGAAGCCCACAGCAGAAAACCCAGCAATGTTTCTGCATGCTTGAACATCTTTACCTCCGGACAGGATAAGTAGGCCAAGCTTCATTTTTAACGTTGTTCTTGTTGGAGCACACATTTGCTTAATTAAATAAACTGTGAAATGTAGACATACATGTCAGGTGCCCTCTATACAACTGCCGGAGTACAGTGCTTTTATCTGAGGCAACAGTAGACCTTTAACATCACCTCTCCATGTTAAATGGTGCAATCACTATAGGTCACATGAATGACTGAAGTCAGTTTTCCAAACAGCTCGCAATGATTCAAATGCTCGAGGACAGATGAGCTCAAGCACACAGAGCGCAGAATGCCCTTCAACTGATCCGTCATCAGAGCTACTATCTGCGAGCAAAATACAAATAATGGGATCGCTCCAATTTAAAAATAGCCTTTATTGCAGCTTCTCTCACGACGAGCTGCTCTGATCACACACAGAAAAACAATATTCCACGCTCAGCATTTGTTCAAACTGGTATGAAGAAAAAGCACATCACATCTTGTTTTTTTTCTAAACATGAGCAAAGGTTTTGGGTGGAAAAGAAGACAATGATTTTTCCTGGATAGAAAAAGAAGCGCAAACAGGTGAAACACACAAATTCCCATTTATGAAACACATTTCAGCGACATGACATGATTTACATGAATGCTGTTGTTCTTTCTTGTGTGATCGGTTGTGTCTTCAAGAGTGAGGCAATGCCTGCCAAAGTTCAGTTTTAACATGAAACGTAACTCTCCCTGCTTTAATAAGTGGCGGCCATCTTAATCGTCGTGGATGTTGAACAGTTTGGCAACTTCGTTCAGATCTGAGTGTTCCTCTCCGTCCTTGATGATCTACAATAAAAAAAAAGATTTACAGAACACAATCAGAATCAGAATTCCTTTGTTTGTCCCGCAAGGGGGAAATGTACATTATTACAACAGCAGAAGTTTAGTGCAGTTAAGAGAAAAGACTTAAAAAAGATAACTAAGTATCTCACAATAAAAACACTGAGTAAAAAAACCAAATAGCAGATACTGTACGTACACCATGGTAAAAAGAGAAGCAGTATATATATTTTTAAAAAGGCGACTATAGACAAATTAGGTTGCTGATTTTGGCCGATTTGCCGAAACCAAAACAAGATTTTGAATCCTTATAAGACAAAGCATTTTTCTAACAGTGACGTACCTTCCTAGCGATGGGCATCCTGTTGAACACGTTCCACAGGATGATGCCCACCACCACCTTGTCCCTCAGGTAGAAGATGACTCCCTTTCCGTACTCGTCTTTGTGGGATCCAGAGGGAGCGGGCGTGGAGGAGGCCACTGGGCTGGTGGCTGTGTCCTCTGTCTCACTCTCTGACCGGATTCCAGTTCCTGTCATACATTAAATGGGTAAACCTTAATCTTAGCATGGTTCCTCAAATTCAGTTTTTTTATATTTGATCAATACTTCTGAAATACCTGACAGCTCTGTGGCAGCTCTAGGCGTATCCTTGGCAGTGGCTTTGGCAAACACTCCTACTGTTGGTAGGCTGCTGTCAACTATCCCAATGGCCTCGTAGCCCACATCAGGCCCAAGGTCGCTCCTGAGAGAAAAGGACATTGGGAAACATATTGATGAAGAAGTTAAATCAAAGATTTCAGATCAAGAAGTATTCTCCAAGTTGCAGTTTTTGTTTTTTTACAAGGCTCCATAATCCAAAATATCCTCCCTTCATCATTTATCCTATTTGGTATTTGTCGGAAAGTCTCACAATAAGCATATGTGATCTTAAGTTATGGCCGAGAACGATTTGTTGGGGGTTGCAGTGACTTTGTCCTCCAACAATGCAGAATCTACTGAAAGCTGTTTGGGTTTCCGTTTCATTTTTTGTTTGTTGTATCTAGCTACACTCAGAAACGTCTCAAGTTGTGAGTCTGACTGTAAACCGGTGCGCTCAGACGGCTGACTCATTCTGAGATGGAGCCACTAGGAGTTGACACGAGCTAAACATGCTGTCATTTTGTGCCAATTAGTGTCAACTACTTTTTCTAAGCAAAAAAAAATGATTGTGCAAACTTCTGTTAAAATAGTTCTGCTGAAGTTTGTCCTCCACCGAAAGAAACTTTTAGATTTAAAACTATCAAAACAGCTTCTACTGTCGACTGTTTGTTTGTGTACCTCACACAGCTCATATTCTAGACACACACACAGCCAGGGGCTGAGGCACTTTTCACACGAAATGTGAAATCGGTGATAACCCCCTCACCAACACCGCATAAACGATGTCCCTTAAAGAGCAACTTGCAGGTTAGAGACCCCAGTGAATAAATGTGTAGGAAAATGATGTATACACTAGATTTTCAAAAAGATATACACTACAGTGACATCTGGCGTCGTTTTTTGTAAGACATTTTTACTTCCGCATAAAAAAAAGACCACCCGTGTGTGACGTCACATGAGGGAGAGCGGCCGGTCTAACGTATTAATAAACATGGTTCACAATGCTAGTTTTGACACAGAAGAGGTTGAAAATGTATATTCGTATGCATATGACGGACCATAACCTTATAATGATGAGCCTGCTAGGCGTCTAAGAGACCAGGAGCAGCCAAGGATTAGAAGAAATAACGGCCATCGGAGAGAAATGGAGCTGTGGTGTGAGGAGAACCAGTGGAGAACTGGGCAGCTGTCTTGGTGAGTGACCGGCGTTAGCTACAGTTAATGTTAGCTAACGTCGGTCACATCACAACATTGTAAAGTTAGCTATCATAAATCAGGCTATAACCAAAGTAGTATTGATAATATAGTAACGTTACTGGCAGGACTGTTGATACTGATCCATAACAGAAACTAATGCGCAAGTATCAGCCGTATCTCGCGTTACCTAATGCAACTCCACACTACGTCTTACGGTGCTGTGTACCGGAGGGGAGAAAGAGAGGAGCGAAGAGGGGGAGAGAGAGAGAGGAACGAATGGGGGAGAGAGAGCAGCGAAGGGGGGGGAGAGAGATGTAATGCGGTTTCCTGATAAACGTTTTGTTTGATAGGCCTCAGCTGTGGAGAGTATGTGCTGCAATCACCATGATTACAAATGGTGAAATGCAATGTAAAATTACCCAAAAAATACCAGCTCACTAAATCACAACCGCTCAAACCAACTACCAACTACTACCGCGGATTGGGCAGAGAAGGAGTCCGAGAAAGTTGTAATATGACGCGTTTGACGTATGACGTTAAAAAAAAGCAGTTTTTAGTAGCAGAGCTCAAAACGGCTACTTTCCCCCCTGAATTCCTGCCCTTATGTCTCGTAAAACATATCAAATCTTGCATTAACTTTTAATTAAAATCTAATAAAAAAATAAAACCTGCAAGTTGCTCTTTAACAAATGACTTGCTGCGGTCATTCCGAGAGCCTGCACACTAAATAAATATTCAAACCTATTGAACATTTTTTGTAAACCTGTTTCAGTGCTGCTGTGCCAACACTTATGCTAAAGGCTTCAACGGGATTTCCAAACCTTCTTCATCAAATTCAATGACTTTCCAGGCTTATTTCCCACAAATGTAAGGACCCAACACAGAAACTTTGTGACCTGGATGAAGTTTGATTAAGGGTACAACACAGATTTCAGAAGTTCACAGAGAACACATAAAGAGAGGTTTGAATGTGTTGACGCATGTCAATATGCTGCTGTGCTACTGTAGGGCAGATGATGGGCTTTTGATGTTGTGCTAGGTTAGCAACAGAGACAGATAATGTACATAAGAACTTCAGTTTTCTTGCACCAAAATATTCATCCATATAAGGACAGTAAAGTTACAGACTTTGTTATAATAGCAAGTTTAACCATTTAAAATGTATCTGAAATGTGTTGTATGTTCGTTTTCATATGTAGTACTTCACCGTGAATGTATTTGATATTTAACTCAACGTTGGAGTCATTGGTGGTACTGTAAAAACTAAAACTCCCATGATCCCACACTTTTGACCCAAACTCTGGGTCCCCTTAAAAAGACAGACAATTCAAAACTGTGCATTTAAATAAACAAACTGTGCACTGCTGCTGAATTAAAAAGGTGATGTGTGTGACACCCAGGAGGCATTTCAGCAGCCTCGTTCTGCAGACACATTTCACAGCCATTCAGAGGAACATCGACACATCATCTGACCACATCTGCTGGTGCACAAGTCACAACTATTTGACTCATGGTCCTGTGATTTTTTTGGGACTGCAGGGAACCCATGATGTCAGCAGTGTGTCATATTTCACCAGCTGTTAAAAACATGCAGTCATATCATTCATCCGTGTAGTGCGGGCCATATTCCACACTGTACTTCAAGTTTTGGGATCTCCCCGAATATCTGGTAGGTGTTTTTTAAGAAAGATGGCACATTTAAGCGGCTGAGTAATGAAAAAAACCTACTAATGTCCTCTAAAGGCAGTTTAAATATTTTAGAACTTAATGGTATTCAAGACTTGAAGGCAATCATGCATGTACATCTGACTTCTAAATGGATTTAATCTGAATCATTTGTAGAATTGTACATGCTGCCACAGTGGCCACATGTGTATTCAATGGATGTGGACCCGTGCATTTAACAATTCAGACTGAACCACGCTTTCTCCCTCATTACCATTTAGAGCTGCTCTCATGGCTTGCAGCTACAGCTCTCGTATGCAAAATGCTTTGAATTTGTGACCCATGATAACCTTGTGTTAGCATCAGTAGCAGGACATGGGGAGTAGCCCTCACTCACCAGAACATGGACTGATGCCAGTATGGTTTGTTGGCTCCGGTCATGTTCTCCCCTGCGAGCCTCCCGCTCACCACGGCGTGATCATGGTGCTCCACCCGTCTGCGGCCCAGTCTGATGTCGTAGAAGCACGCAGCATCTCCCGCCTGAATCCAGAGACAAAGGATTTAAGAGATGGACTCAAATAACTAACTCTACTACTACAGAGGTGCATTGTTACCCGAGTCTGCCTGAAGGGGAAACTGTGATAAAAGATACTACTGAAAAACTCATATTTCGGGCACAGTGAATTTGGTTTTTCCTATGAATATTTCAAATCTGATTTATTTTGTTCTTTTTTTTCAACTCATTAAAAGTGTCTGATACAACAATCGCTGTGTTTCTAGGATTTTTTTTTAATGTATTATTATTTATTTTAATTGTATTTATTTAATATTTTTTCTTTTGAACTCATTACCAGTGGGGAATCAAAAGCATTGCTGTGTTAAAATAAATGTTTGTCCTATGCACACGACAAATACAATTTCTCATAGTTGATCTAAATCAACAAATGTATAAAAAAGAGTTTATCTGATCCCTATCATGCAAGATAATCACTTTAAATTGAGTTTTCAAGAAGTGTGCACAGAAGTCATTCAGTCAGCATGAATAAAGCATAACACATTTGAAAGTCAATCTAATTGCACCGTCTATTACTTGATGTGTGTATATATTTAAAAAACAAGTATACATTTTCCCAGTATTGTTCTTATGGCATTGTTGTTCTGCTCATTTTGTCTTTTTCCTTGTAGTCATTATATATTTTTTTATTAATGATAGAAGTATATTCCCACCAGCTTTTATTTTCTCAAGAAGAGAAGAGGACTGTTGTAAAAAGGTTTTGTTTTCTTAACTGCTTGCGTCTTATCGATTAAAGAAATATTTTTCAACGAAGACCCAAAAACTCGACAAAGACAGAGAAGCCTGGATGTATGACTTAATCAACTAGGAAGTTTGTCCACTTATCACGAGTCTCAGTTTTTTAAAGATAGGATATTGTTAAAATTGGAATGTGGGGTCACTTTCAGTAAGTAATAATCTTAATGACCACTACTGGAATACTTCTGATCATTAACTTACCACCCAAATGTTGGATCTAGCTTGCAGCTCTGCATTGACCCGGAAGCCTCCAAAGTCAGAGTCCACCTCCAGACCTGCTGACTTGGCAAGGTCCACATTGGGCTCCAGGCCAACCGCTGCCACGATGTGGTCCGTTTTCACCTGCACGGTGAAGCAAGAGATATCAGTAACTAATAAGTCACTTCCTGGATTTCTATGGTATTAACATGTGAAAACCTGGACATACCAATCGGCCATCCTTCAGCTGGATTTCTAACTTGTCATCTTTGGAGACCACAGATTTCACCAAAGCTTCTGAGATTATTTTCACACCCTCTAGAAAGGCAAAGGGAACAATATTTAATAAAAGAAGAAATTAGTAGATTAGAATTTTTTAGTTTTTTTCTCAGGGTGTAGTTGGACAAAGGGACACGAACCGCTCTTGACTTTTTCTGTTGTCCAGTTACTCAGATACTCAGGCAAGACTTTTCCCATGTTGCCTTTCTCAGGGTACATCTGTATCACCTCCAGGTCAAACTCTGATGCTACAGAAGGGAGAAAGAGGATACGGTTGAGTAAACAAACAGAGAAACTAATTAATTAGTTTAACTTCAGAAGTTATATAGGTCTGTCATTTGTCATCTCGTCCAGCCGTCTTACATCTCCTGCCGAGGGCACAGGCCAGCTCACTGCCCAGGAATCCACCTCCGATGATAGTGATGGATTTGACGTTTCGGGAGACCTTGTCAAGTTCTTTGAAGTCCTCGATCTGCAGAAGACAGCAACATGTATTGAAAATATACCTTTTTTACTGTGGTAGTGATATACCAAACAGTTAGCAAGACCGTGGCCTTATACAAGTGTGTTAACTTATCTGTGTTAGGACTTAAAATAGTTATAAAGATCAGCAAATAAACTGTAACAATTATTAAAACATTTGAATTAAAACCAAAATAATCAAATTGAATGATAATGAAACATTAGTCCAATGATAATGCAACCAAAACCAACAAAAGTAAAAATACATAGATACTTTAGACTGACAATTAGCCTACTGAAAGTAACAGCTTAAAGTAAATGTTTTAAGTGAAGTGATAAAGGTTGATAGTGTTGGAGCATACCTAACATGGGTAAGATGTTCCAGCAGATTAAATCATACAGCAATTAATGAACCATAAGAAATAGTGGGACAACTAGTGGGACAACTAATGGAAACGTTGAACCAACTGCAGCCAATTAAGGTATTAGATTAGCCGGACAAGCATCTGCATTTCCTGCTGTTTTTATAATAAAGTTAAAGTTAAACAAAAAAAAAGTATTTTGAGGAATTCACTGAGTATTTCTCCACAAGGTATATCTTTACTTGAACTCCCACAACTAAAATGTGTCTGTGTTTCATTCAATTACACAGACCTTCCAGGGCTGAAACAAAGTCATCGCCCCCTTGTGGCGACACACTGACCTTGCGGAACAACGTTGTCTTCTGCATCACCTCCTCTCCTGCTCTTTCAATGACCTGGAGATTTCTTGGCACACCACCTGAAGCAAAGAGTTCAAATGAGCTTGCACCAGGTTTAAACCACTCATGGTAATAAATGCATTTCTGAAGAGGCTTACCAGTAGCAATCAGACACTTGTCGTATGAAATCTCAGTGTCATCGTCCAGTTTGATTTTGTTTCCTCTCACGTCCATGTGAACCACCTAAAATAGATGACGACATTGTGGACAGAAATCGCAATACACTGAAAAGGTACATTTAAATTAATCAAATAAATCCCATTGGTGTAAATACTGCTATGGTGTACTGTAAATGATCAAAACATCAGCATATCCTAGTTTCTGACTGTGGAAATAAAGCAAACCTTTCTGTTTGTGAGAATGGCCACTCCGCCATTTTCTGCACTACTCAATTCCTCTGCAGTGATGTAGAATGATGGTGGCTGGAAGAAGATACTGGCAAAGGAAACACAAAAGGTATAACCATCTTAGAACATATTTATATATAAAATGACACTACAAATGTACAGTGGGAAGTCAGTATACAGAGTTTAGTACTCCGAATTACCACGGACGGTGATGTCCACCTTGTTTTAGATGAAAGTGAAGAGATGTCCCAGTAATACACAGATTGTAATGACCACTTATCACAGCAGAGAGACAGATTGTAAGGAAGGCACAGGGCCACAGTGAAACGAACAGAAGGAAAACCACACGGGAACACACCTCCTTTCCTTTCCATTCCACTGCTTGAAACGCAGTGTTTCTGTCACACTGGGGTCATCAGAGAACCACAGCTCTTTGGAAAGAGGGGGTCTCATGTATGGAGCGTCTGGCTCTTCAGTCACAATCAGCACCTGGTGGCAAAAACACATTTAAAAAGCCAGATAGAGTACATGAGGAAAAACCAACAAATGTAATTGAGGAACAAGATGATAAATGATGAACTGAAGGCTGACCTTGGCACCGGGGTCTCTGGCTCGAATAGACCGGGCGGCAGCGAAGGAGGCGGTACCTCCTCCAATCAGGAGGTAGGGGGCGTGTGAGGGGACCTTGAGAGAGGCAGCTACAGAGTCTCCTGGAGTGTGAATGAGAGAGAGAGAAACAGTCAGTCCATATTCTTAGATGCTCATCACTACACACAAATACACCTGAAAGGAGTAAATGGAAAAAGAAATTAAAAAAGTTAATGTGAGTGAGATTAACCTTTATCATTACAAGTACCAAAACAATGTGAGAAATACACGAACGAGCTGCAATGAGAAAAAGTTACAAATATAAAAAGGGAAATTTAACAAAATGGGAAATAGTGTCACCGAAAGGGCACAGTCAAGGTTTATGCTGCCTCCTGTATGAAACATTCATAACATGTTACTCGTGTGTGTTAACCTTTATCATTACCAGTACCCAAACAATTTATAAACACAAAAACAGGCAGGGAGAAGATCTGAAATGACGAATGAATGCTAAAAACAATGAAAAGGAGGAAAGGTGTTTGAAATGAACAAAATGGGGAATAGTGTCAGTGTCTTCCCGCTCCGTCCTCCTCGCTGGTCTTACCGCTCTCTGCCACAGCTTCAGGCTGAGGCTCGGCGGGCTCGGCGGGCTCTGCTGCTGCTGCTGAAGGTTCTGTTAGTGTAACCGGAGCAACAACCGGTTAAGAGAAAACAAACCCTCACAGGTGGTAAATGTACTGGTTCCATGCAGAGGTCTGACTCAGGCTGCTTACCGCTCTCCTCAACAGCTGCAGGGGGCTCTGTTAGCTCGCCTGGGGGGGGCTCACAGGGGGCGGAGGGTTCTGCTAGTATAGTGGCAGAGTTACATAATGACCTGATATGCACAAGACATATTATCTACAATATGCATTAAAGGGTAACAACAGATTACTATGGACCCTATTTTACCATGTTTTTGTTTTTAAGGGGACAATATATATATTTTTTTAACTAGTCCGAATCGAGAATGCTGCAGCAGCTATATGAGCTGCAATGTAATCACTTGGGGCAAGAGTGTTGTTACATGCGTCTGACATAATTAAATAAAGGACCCTTGAGAGAAATAAATGTTTGTCATTGTGTCATGTGACTTGTAGCCGGAAAGACAGCAATGAAAACCTCCTCTGCAGGGTCCTTTCCATAAAGTTGTGAGACACTTATAAAAGCAATCTGAACTCTTCAGTGGCAAAGACGATCCATTTTAGAGTACAAACATTGAACTCTGTATTGCAGACAGCTTAATGGCTGCAATCTGCTCAATTGTTGTCCCCATTAGAACAATAGGGTTGAAGTTGAAATAAACCCTTAGTTACCATTTAACTGAGCTGTAGTGTTATCTACTACACAGACTGGGGTCAAATGGGAAAGCAGAAGTGTAAATGGAACCTCGTCATTTTTAATAAATGAATTAGATCAGAGTGTCCTCATCTCATGTCTTACCCTCCTCCACTACAGGAGCAGCAGGGGGTTCTGCTGCCTCATCTGGGGGGGCTTCTACCACTGGCTCTGCTGCTGTTAGGGCAATCAATAGTACGGGTTCAATTATTAAATTGATTATTAAAAAGGGGAGGACCGTCGGGATACATGCACTTCCTCCGCTTCACCCTGGGAACATTAGGCAGAGCATGCACACTAGTAACAAGTGGAAGCTGCCCGATGTGTGGGTGACCTCTACAGAGACGTACATCGAGAAGAGTAAGGAGTTATAACTTCTGTACGGTTTTCTTTCTCTGCTGTAAAGACTTTTTACCCCAGAGACACAGCATTACAAAAAAAAGATGTTTAGAGGTAAAACACAATATCCACCTTAAAGGGCAACTTCCAATTATAAACAATATTATCACTTAAAGTTAGTTTGGAAACAGTCTTAAGAGGAAGGAATACATTCTAAATCACAAATATAACAAAGCCAACAGGAGCCAAGATATTTGTAATAAATACTGACAATTCTAACGACTATATCCCACAAAAACATTTCAGAAGGAGGTGAGTATGTGTGAGTGTCCAAAGTTCTACTGAAACTGAAAAGGGTTAAGGTTAGAGGATGTATCACTAAATACAAAGTGATACATGCACCAAGAGGGCACAGTCAAAGTTCATGCAATCAACTTCAGCTGCCTCCTGTATAAAACATCCTTAACAAATACTCATGTGTGTTAACCTTTATCATTACCAGTACCCAAACAGTGTACAAATAAAATAAAAACAGGCAGGGAGAAGATCTGTAATGAGGGATGAATACTAAAACAATACACAGGAGAGAAGGTGTTTGAAATTAACAAAATGGGAAATAGTGTCAGTGTCTGCACCGAGGTCGAGGTTCATGCTGCCTCCTGTATAAAACATCCTTAACATGTTACTCGCGTGTTAACCTTTATCATTACCAGTACCCAAACAATGTAAAAACACAAAACGGGCAGGGAGAAGAGCTGTAATGAGGGATAAATGCTAAAACAATAATTGGGGAGAAAGTCTTTGAAATGGGAAAAGCGCTTCCCCGCTCCGTCCTCTCGTTGGTCTTACCGCTCTCCGCCACAGCTTCAGGCTGAGGCTCGGCGGGCTCTGCTGCGGGGCTTTCTGCGGGCTCTGCTGCTGCTGTAGGTTCTGTTAGTGTAACCGGAGCAACAACCGGTTAAGAGAAAACAAACCCTCACAGGTGGTAAATGTACTGGTTCCATGCAGAGGTCTGACTCAGGCTGCTTACCGCTCTCCTCAACAGCTGCAGGGGGCTCCGTTAGCTTGGCTGGGGGGGGCTCAGAGGGGGCGAATGGTTCTGCTAGTATAGTGGCAGAGTTGCATAATGACTGGTGTGAATTACTGATAATATCGTTAGGACATCTTTACAGGGTAACTTGAATATTTTTTTAACGTAGCCCCTATATTTTTTGTGTTTCAGTGACTAAGCGGTATTGGGGAACAATGTTTTAAATTCGTCCAATATTGCGCAAGGAATGCTGCAGTCGCTAAATGACCGGCAAAGTCATTTCACAGGGCATTTTTTTTTATATGTATATGAAAACATTTTGAAAACGACCCAACAGATAAATAACCTTTTTTAACTTTTGACTTGATTGGGTCCGTTTGTGGTGGTGTCATGTGACTTGTTGCCGGGGAAAACCGCGGTGAGAATGTGAGTGAGAATTGGAGCAAAGAGTTCTGGTTTTCTTAAAGTTTGTTAACGTACAGAAAGATGGCTAAGGCCCCGGCTCCACGGGGACGAAAACGGGTTGAATCCGCATATTTCTCATGCGTATAGCCCTCTAAGCTCAACGACGCCGTAAGGGAAACGTAGAAACAGACCCCGCAAACGACAACGGGTCCAAAGGTGGATAGATCTGGGGAACGGAGCGCTCTGGGGGGTCCAACGGGGCCGTGGAGTCGCCTATACGGTCATTCGTTTTCATAGCCCTGCCTCTCCCCCGCAGGGTTGCTATCGTGCTCCAGTCGCTACTGACCATGCTACAGTTCTTTGTGCAACATCTACAGGAGCTCCTCCTTGAATTCAGATTATTTATCTTTATCTCGATATGGACATAAACGCGAGTGAAGTCTAATCTGACAGGACGGAGACACGCAGCTCCTGCCGCTGTGATGCAGCGGGAGCAAAACACACACTTCAAGTCAGATCATCACCCTTAGCTATTTTAATTACCTCTCAAACTACCTAAACTAGTTATAAATATGTTCATTTTTACTGTCGGGTCACTCATTACAGGATCAGCTGCTGCATGAGACAGACACTGACCTGTCAGAAGAGAGGAAAAAGAGACAGGCTCCGTGTATTTGATGAACAATGAAGACCTTTGACCGGCACTTTTATAATTTTGTCCGGAAGATTTAAACTTTAACACACGCTGACCGGCGAAAAACTCTGCCCGGTTCTGTCGGCCCCCACCGCGGAGAATACACAGAAGTGCAGCCATGACTACCATTCTTCTTCGCTGCTTTTGTGGAGGAAGTTACAGCGCCACGTACAGGTTCGGCATATGTACTGCAGCTTTTCCAGCGTTTGGATGTAAACGGAGCCGTCTCGTGGAGCTTGACACAATCCGGTGTATATTGCGTGGGGACGGAAGGTTTTTTGCGGTTGCATTTGCGTTACTCCGATGCGTTTTGCCGTATTTGTCCTCGTGGAGCCGGGGCCTAAGTATATAGCTGCTTTCAACAATGTGAGAGTGTGTGAGATTTCAGTACGAGACTTCTCTAAACAAGACTAACAGACCAGATCAAGGGAAGGCTAAAGAAAAGTGTTTTATTTCTCTGTAGGGTTATTTTCATTAAGATGAACTGTAGGGTGTTATCGTCTACAGACTCAGGTCAGATAGAAAAGCACTAAATGGCACCTTATTATCTTTCCAATACGATGAATGAAATCAGAGTATTGTTTCTTCTCTTACCCTCCTCCACTACAGGTGCAGCAGGGGGCTCTGCTGCCTCCTCTGGGGGGGCTTCTACCACTGGCTCTGCTGCTGGTGGTTCTGGTAGTAAAGTGGCACAGTTACATAATGCAGGTAGCCTCGACTTGGTTATGATTTTTGTTGTCACCATGAATAAGAGTTTAGCTCCATGATGTATAACCTGATAAAAGCATCTAACAATAATTACAGTTCCACTAGCAAAATACTTCTGCAATTTAGTCTTTTTGGAAATAAACCTTGGTTAGTTTATCTCACTGATGTTTCCCACAGTGTGTAAACTTGGGTGCATTTTTAAGTAGCAGCTTTAGTGATTTAAGAGTTCCAGGCAAACGTACAATGTTATAATTAGCAGTGGTAAAAGAAGTACTTAAAAGTTATTTTCTTCAAGTTTTAAAACGATTTATCTGGACAGTAAAAGTCCTTCATAGCGAACAGAGAACAAGATGTCCTTCCAGCACAATGCACTTACATTTCTGTTAAAGGAGGAGCAGTGTCTGTTTTTAAGTTCTTTGTATGAGCGGTGCTCGAGAAAGCTTCAATTAGCAATACTAGCATGTTTTAAACAAGCACTGTGCTATTATTAAAAATAGAATGGATAAATGAATTAGATCAGAGTATTCTTTCTCCTCATGTATGAAAACATATCTTTCTTCTCTTACCCTCCTCCACTACAGGTGCAGCAGGGGGCTCTGCTGCCTCCTCTGGGGGGGCTTCTACCACTGGCTCTGCTGCTGGTGGTTCTGGTAGTAAAGTGGCACAGTTACATAATGACCTCTGATGTGAACACATGTTGAATTGAGCTGTAGTGAATCTACTACTCAGACTCAGGTCAGATTGTAAACAGAGGTGTATATAGCACCTGTATATCTAACAATAAAGAAAGAATCTCTATCTGGGTGTATTGCTAGGGACTCAAGGATGTGCAGTGTAGCAGTACGATTAATATCAATAAACTTTCAAGTGTACAGTGCTCTGTGAAGCAGCTTGGCGGGGCCTCATGGCTCTTCAAACGGTCACTCTTGTCCTTTACAGACTGCAATTTATTGACAGCAGTTCACTAGTGCTGCTGGTTGTTGTATACCAACAGCACAAAGGGCTGCCCCTTTTTTCCTTTAGTTGATTAGTACATTTTTATGTTTAATAACTTAATTCCAAGAAACTTATGAGAAAGTTCTCTGGTAGGCAAAATATTGAAAGTGTTGCTTTTGCTTCATGGAGAAACTCTTTTGTCAACCAAGTTAACTCATCGATAGGTTGAGAAAATTGTTCGTGGACTAAGAATTTATCTATTATTCAAGATAGAATGAATAAATAAAATCAGATCACGGTATCTTTTGTCCTAATTTCTTACCCTCCTCAACTACAGGAGCAGCAGGGGGTTCTGTTGCCTCCTCTGGGGGGGCTTCTACCACTGGCTCCTCTGCTGTTAGGGCAATCCATAAATGGGTTAAGATTAAATTGAGTTGATAAGATTATTAATGGGAAAGATCAACAAGATCCATGCATTTCCTCCAATCCACCCTGGGAACAATATGCAGAGCATGCACACTTACACGATAACAAGTGGAAGCTGCCCAATGTGTGGTTAACCTCTACAGAGCAAACTGTTTAGCATAAGGGAGAATATGGAGTTCGTACATAAGAAGAAGATGTCACTGCTCATTATAACTCAAGCATGTCTTACCACACAGACGTTCAGAAGTAGAATAACCTGTATTCTGTCTGAAGACTTACTGTTTAAATTAGAAGCCGCTGTGAGGACTTTATGCAATTAGGACACAGGATGTAAACATTTGAGGTAAGAGAAATAGTTAACCTCAAAGGGCAGCTTCCAATCACAACATATAACATTACAATCCCACAAGACAAAGTTTTACACGTTTTGATACATTGACAGAAAACATCAGAGAGGGTCATTTTCAAATCACAAATACATCAGAGCAAATTAGGAGCCAAGATATTTGTACGAAAAAAAGAAACTCCAACGACTGTGTCCCACAAAAACAGAAATATTTACAGTTGAGAATGGAAGTCATAGGTGTGAGAGTCCAAAGTTGTATTCAATCTGTAAAGGGTTAATATGAAGGTATAAGTAAATTAAACCCAACAGGAAATACTGAACAGGCCACCTGCGTCACTAAATAGAAGGTGAATACAAAATGAACACATGCCACAAGAGGGCACCGTTACAGTTCATGCAGTAAACAGAGACAATACTCACACAGACAATACACATATAAATTATCTAGAGGGCCTCCTGTATAAAACATGTCATCACCAAGAAATGTGATTTGTAATATATTACTTTTGTGGGACAATTATGAGCATGGTGTAAAGAGGAGCCCAAAGACAGGTGGGTCCTTCCGTGTCAAAATATTTGTGGCTTTTTTGGTTATGTATAGAAACCCTCCCAACACATTCCACAAGTCTACATTTTTGGATCTTATAAAAAAGGAAGAAATTGCAACCCAGGATTTCAAGCCATAACTCTTAAGATTATGATTAATCTCTTGAAATTTGGCACATGAATCCAACACTGGATTTTTAGCAGGAAATATTGACATCCGCTTGTGTTTTTCCAAATATTTGGATCTGCTGAACATCATATGTCTGTGGCCCTACCAAATGTTATGGCTCTTTATGTTTGAAGATATTTAACCCTAAAAAAACAAACAATGTAATTCTTAAAAATCAGCTAATATATTTTACTGAAATGTTTTTTGGTTTTAAATATCATTTACATAAGGTTAAGATGTAAACAAAAACCTGACACATAATGGACCCAGGTGCGTTTTACAGCCTGCTTTTTTTGTGTTGCAGTAACATGGCTTTTCCAGCTGGGGGCAACATTTCTAACACCTCAGTTCTCTTTAAAGCATTCTATGTGCACAGAGTATAGTACACAATATTCCACATGCTTTAAAGTGTTCTATTCTCCTATTCATTTTTGGTTCAAGTACACTCTTCATACAGGAGGCCCATGTTCTGCATGCATGTCAGGGTATAAAAAAGTATGCAGACAACCTGGGGGGGCTTCAGATGTTTCAGGGGGGGCTTCAGATGTTTCAGGGGGGGCTTCAGATGTTTCAGGGGGGGCTTCAGATGTTTCAGGGGGGATCACTGCTTCAACGTCAGCGGCTGGAGGGCTCGGCTCTTCTGATGAAGGGGCTGCTTCAGGTTCTGGCTCAGGGACGGCTGACAGAGAAATGATCAGAATAACAAACATTAGCTATGACATTATTAGTTAGATTCATTTGAAACACGATTACATTTGTGTTATGTGACATTAAGAGCAGGGTTTAAATTAAGTTGTTTACATTTTAAAACCAGTTATTTACAGGGTACCTACAAACACACTGCGGAAGACACACATACAGGCAGCAGAAAGTAAAATACAAATATCTAAAGAATGTTCAGTCTTGCACAAATCATGTTTATTCAACCCCTTTCAATGTTTATCTTTAACAGACCTTCATGTCAATGTTGTAGCTTAAGCACAAGCTCTCCCTATTAACTTATTAACAGAGTTGAAGTTTGATATAGCAATCTTAAGATAAAAATCTACTCAGCAATTAAAGAAAAAACACTCACCTTCTGTCTCAGTGGCTTCCACAGCTACAGGAAAACAAAACAGGGAAATTCTTAATTGATCGTGACCAAAAACACAGTGAAATGTCCAGGCTCGGATAGGAATATATATTTGGACTTGTTTAGGGAATTAAGTAAAAGGTCAATGTTTTAAAATCAGTTAATATAAAATGCTCACCAGGAGGCTCTGTCTGGATGTAGGAGTCTTGTGTTTTAATTGGTCGGGAGGAGATTTCTTCAATACGTTCCTGATATCTTTGGCCGTCTCCCTTGACAGTTCGGTATGTCTGAGATAAAAACAGAAAAGTTGTCAGCAACCAGCATTTGCGTCACTGACCTCCACTGATTTTTAATGCATGTCCTGTGACAGACTAAACCAACTCACGTATACTCCACCCCCGACGCACGCTGCTCCAACCAGAAGGACATATATCTGGTTTGCACGACCTCCCCCTGCAGGCCCACTGGACATGTGAGCCACAGGGACATATGCTGGTGTTCTGCCATTGTTTAATGCTGAAAACAAAATGACAAAAACAGACATTGAGATTGGTCAAAAGTAAACAGAGAGAGGTAAATTGTGGTTTCAGTACTTTACATCTCCATAGGAAGAGTTTTAAACCATGGCTCTACAATTATGATTACAATTCTTTTTGTCACATTTTCACTCTGAAGCAGATCTTTAAGCTCCTTACACACCAAACTGACACCAAAGAACACGTCCCAACGGAACGTCGGCTCACGTCTCCTGCGTCTTGGCCATGTTTCACACTCGAACACACCGCAAAGACTTCAGCCGACGGCCAAGTTGCACGTACGAACTGCGCATGCGTGACTGGCAATAACTCTCCTTACCAGCAGATGTCGGTAGTGTGTATTCGTCACTCAAAAGAGGCAACAACCGGAAGACAGACTGCGTTATACACAGAGAGAAGAAGAACAGACTGCGTGATATAAACAAACAACAAATAGCGCGTGCGTTCCATTTTCACTCTACAGCGAGAAGCTCATGGGGCTTTCCCGAACCTGTGTCGAGAGCGGAGTTAAATGAAATCTCAGATTTGCCTTCTTAATCGTTTGTTTGGGTCCCTCAGTTCCGTTTCGCTTCTCATGCATTGATTCGCTAAGCTGAACAGCCAATCAGAGTGATTTCTTTGGCCGACAGCCTACCAATTCAACATGTCGAATCGGCGGCGGAAGGTGTCGGCACGGCCGAAAAGACACGACGTTGCAGTACACACCAATCTGAGTAGGGCGACACGACGCTCATCGACGGCCTGACATCTATCGACGCCGAAAATCGGCTCGGTGTGTAAGCACCTTTAGAATACATTTTGCATAGCATCTAAATGACTCAAAATAAAGGGTGACTAAAAATGTGTGTTGTATTTTATTAAAGGTGGGGTAGGTAAGTTTGAGAAACCGGCTCGAGATCGCTAGAATTTGAAAATACACAACCGGAGAAAATCTGCCACTTCCTTACAGAGCCCCTCCTCCAACACACACGAACGTGCACATGACCAATGAGGGCACGAGATAAGTTTGTGCACAGATGGAAGGCTGACAGGCAGGTAGGCCATCCAGTTACTTTAGCCGGGCCGGCTAAAATGATTGGTCGTGCTTTTTACAGTACTACAGCTTCCAAACATGACATTTTTTTATGGATTTTTTGTCAAAGCACTTAAGATATTCATTGCTATCAGGATGTTAAGAGCATTCCATGGAATATAACAAAAAGTGTATCTCGAGCCGGTTTCTCAAACTTACCTACCCTACCTTTAACACATGCATTGCTTGTATTTTTTTTAGATTAGATTAAACTTTATTGTCATAAAACAAAGACAACAAAATGTAGTTTAGATCTAACCAGAGGTGCAAAATTCTGATATCTTGGAAGTGGAGTAAGGTGAAAAACTAAAGCTGGTCTGTTCCCATAGAGACACTCTCCATTATTGTTTATGTTGATGAGGTGACAGCTATATGACTGACAATGACACTTGCTCAAATTAATTATTCAGTCAATAACATCTCACTTTCCAAAATGATTGATTGAAGATCAGAATGATTACAATTTCCAAAATGTTTAAGTATTTTGGAAATGCTCATAGTATAATCATGTCACACTACAGGATCTTTGCTGACTGCAAGGTCATAATATATCTTAGTTTACATGTATAGTTAATAATCCTTGTGCTTTTGTTTAAGATGGATAAAAAAAAGGTAGACACAATTTCAGTTAAGTTTACAGGCTTGAATCCTCTTTTTGATCATCTCTTTAATTAACTACTTTCCTCTTACAGTATATACACCGGTAGGTGTCAAACTGAAAGGCTGTGCGCCCAATCTGCAAACGTTGATCAGGCTGAGGAAATCAATTAAAGTTCAGAATGTTAACCCATCTAGTGAAGAGTTGTTAAACTTGCATTAGAGAAATGATGTCAGGTGGCTGGAAGTAGGCCAGCCTAGTGGCTTAATAGTAGGCCAAAATTGATGATTCCTATTTAGGCATGTGAAAAAGACTGCACATGGATGATGCCAGACTGAAGTTTATTTTTAATATTTAGGGGTTTTTTGTGTCGAAGATTGTGTGCCAGAAGGCACAACGGGACATGTGAACTATTGACTTATCATATTCAGGACTGAGACAGGTTATTTAGAGTTGGTTGAATGTTACTTTTTTGCAGTGGTGTAATGTAGTGAAATTAATTTACTCAAGTTTTGTACGAAAGTAAAAATGTTGGGTACTTGCACTTTACTTAAAGGTAGGGTAGGTAAGTTTGAGAAACTCGAGATACACTTTTTGTTATATTCCATGGAATGCTCTTAACATCCCGATAGCAATGAATATCTTAAACTTACCTACCCTACCTTTAAAGTGGATCTATCATGCTATATTTGAATAATATAGTGTAGGACCATACCTATATAAAGGCATATTTATACTTTTTTTTTTTCAAAATACCAAACAGATCATGCATTTTAGCCATGCCTCATTTCGCTCAATTTGAAAAATGTTAGCTCTGTTTTTGCAAGGGCTGATTCTGTGAGAACAGCACCACCTACAGGCCTGGCATATGTACTACAGCGTCTCCAGCGCTTTCGAACGGCAATGGCCGTGGCTGTCTCCTCCTGATTGGTGGAGTTGGCCCAATAGCCGTAGCGCCACTTCTGTGACGTCATAGAAGTGTTCAAATCTGGATCAGTTTTTATCAGATCCGTTGCAGCCCCTTTTTTAGAGATTTGGGTATGGAGGAAAATAGAGAGGGTTGTGTTTTCTGACACTTGGCGAGTTCCCTGGAACACCGGGGACACATATTCATGTATAAAAGATGTACAAAAGTGCATTTTGCATGATAGGTCCCCTTTAAGTAAGATTATGAATGCAGGTCTTTTAATTGTGATAGAAATGTTCACACTGTAGTATTTCTACTTTTACTTCATTAAAATATCTGGGTACTTCTTTCACCACTGCTTGTTTGGTTAAGCGCTATGATGGCAAAGCTACTTTTTAATTTGATGAAGTTTGTGGAGGTGTGTGGGACATGCAACATCATAAATCGCATACATACAATTGCTTTTTTTACATTTAAATAAAAGAATGACCAACAACTTGTGTGGCCCTTGATGAAATTGAGAATGAAACACCTGTAGAGGTGGGAGAAGAACTCAGATCTTGTACTTTAGTGCAAGTAGAACTACAAGAGTGAAGAAATACTCTGTTACAAGTAAAAGTCCTGCATTCAAAACGTTAATCAAGTAAAAGTATTAGCATCAAAATATACTTAAAGTACCAAAGGTAAAGTAGTCATTGTGCAGATTGGTCCATTTCAGAATAATATATATATATATATGTTTTATAATGATTGATCATTAAAGTGTTATCAAAGCTGGTAAAGGTGCAGCTAGTTTGAATGACTTTGTATACTGCAGGGTAGCTTGTGAATTTACTCCAGGTGGATTATATTTCACATTATTGAATCAAATGTGCAAAGTAACTAAATACATTGAATAAATGTAGTGGAGTAAAAGTACACTATTTACCTCTGAACTGTAGTAGAATACAAAGTAGCAAAACAATTGAAACACTCAAGTAAAGTACAAGTCTCTCAAAATTGTCCTTAGCTACAGACTAGTACTTAGTTACTTTACACCACTGAAAACCTGCTATAATAACTCCCCGCTGCTGCCTTTCTTCATCATTGAAGATGAAGGACACTGTTCTACACATTGTGCCAATTATTTCAGGGTCAAATAAGCTGGACGATCACGTGATCAAAAACAAATTCGGCTTATGCAAGCATGGTTAAATATGACGGGTTACAAACTATGGCGTAGTATCTGTAAAAAGCATAATGCATTAAATGCAAACCAGCAATGAATCAAAAATAATGCGACAATGACACGTGTATTTCTTATTCATTCATTGAGCACTGTTTTCTAGCAGGCTTAAGGTGACGGCTACAACTTTTGTAGCGCAATATGCTCCGAGCTAACCCAGTTATAAAAATGTCATTGACTCCTGAATGTTGCCATTTGCTCAGTTAACGTTAGCTTTGTGACAGCTAAACGAAGGTCAACATACACAAACTAAGCTAAAAAAAGACCCCCTCTGGTTTAATATACTGTCGTAAGTGTGCAATATCATGCCACGCGAAATGAGTGTTTGAATTTCTCACAAGGACAAGTTTAGTGTACCTAACACTAGTTAGTTAACTCACCTGTTCTCCTCACATTCTGCCGGCAGAGCGTGGAGGAAGCTCTAGCAAGTGGTGCAAGCTTTTTCCATACAGTTCTACATTTCAGCATTGTTGCTCAGCTCCACCGTAACGGTCCCCAGATTACTAGCGGAGTTGTCGGACAGGAACACTAGACAGTTAGCGCAAATTAAGTCCGACAGCCAGCACACACAACAACTAGCAGCACCGCGCTACACTCCAAGGCCAGAGACAGGTCATACGTTTCAGGGGAGTTATGGGTAATTGTGAAGACTCTTTGCAATGCAAGATAGGTCACCACCAGGAAAACTGAGTAGGACAACGGCTCTGGAAGAAAGATGGCGTCACCGGTTGTAAGTGAACGTGTGGAACATGAGTTCCATAAATTATGTTTTAATGATATGTTTTGGTCTTTGTTATTGGGCTATGAAGAAACAGTGCATTTATTTAACAAGTTCTAGTAGTTAACAAGTCCTAGTAAACGTTTTTGTCTCTGTATTAATGCCGTTACACCAAGTCTCATCTATTTCGAGCTCTTTCTTTCAAGGCTCTCTGGTAACCTGGTTCTTCTTCTGGACATTTCTACGTATTAAATTCAGCCGCAGTTCACTGCTGCCCTCTACAGTTCATTTATCAAAAGTTAACTGTGTTAACGTGTACATTTTAACTGACAAGAAACGGAAAAAAAGACAAGGCTGATAAAAGAGAAGATTAAAGTGCCGAATAACACGAAGATATGACTTTTGGTATGTTTTACTGAGTTTATTATTGAGCTTTCTTTGTTTTGACATACCAAGAAACTAGAGATGCAAATAAGTAAAAAAACTGCAATCTGGTAAAGTGCTTCAAATAGAGACATTTATGAATTTAAACTAAACACCGTCTCTCACAAATAAAACACCTATGAAGGGTTGGGATACTGAAGGGTTAAGACTTAGCCCATTAGAAAACTGCAAGAATGTATTCTTAGTCCACTTGGGGGCAGCAAAAATCTGACTGTATCAACCACACTCATGTATTATAATGTTTATTTGTATTTGTATGTATTGGTTTATGTATTATGCAGTTGTCAATGTATTGAATACTAAATACAACCAAGTGTATGTGCAAATGTATGTGGCAGACTGCAAATATGTGTACATTTGATTTTGTTTCGGTTTCTATTTGAAATTAACCATATTTCAATGTTTTAGATTTGTGTTCTGTTAACAAATAATGTGGTTAATCAACTTTTTATTTCAAAATATAATTAATAAGTTGCACTACTTTTAAAAGTTGTATTATATTCCTGCAACATCACATACAGCTACATCACAGCAATTACATTGAATAACTGGGATAACAGCTGTCATTTTAATATAGTTTACTGTATAAATATCACAGTTACTTGCTGAGATAGTTGTGAAACGAGTAGCCAGTAATTTACTGTAAAATGACATCAGAAGCTATTTAAACATGAAATTAAATTGATGATCCATGTTAAATTCCTATTTTGATCTTAGGCAGTGGTGGCAGCTAAGGAAAGACCATCTAACACAATCAATATGATGAATCTTATATATTTTTATTTAAAACATTTGGCAATGTCTTTTTGGCTTTCTATGCACAATTTTAATTATATTGTTGTTTTTCATCTTAAGAGGCCTTAAAATGTGCTTTTGACAAAGAAGTGACAAAATAGCTTAAATAGATAATAGATAAAGACTTCATAGAGTTTAAATGTATTCTGCTTCTGCTACCACGTTTCTCTACTTTGTAAACCTTATCGTCCAATGATCTTCAAATTCACCTAACTCACTTTTGACAAGGGCTGAGCACACGAAGGAATGCACACTGATAGGCCCCCCTGCTAATAATATCATGTCTGTACTAAGACCTCCCTTAAAGCTCATGTGGAAATGAGTCCTTATTTAGTTTATTAGGTGTGAGGCAAGTCGATGTTTGGATCAGTGTTGAAGCCACTTCTGGTTTCTGTAGAACTCAGAAACCACATTGGATAAACCAACAAAAAGAAATACAGAGTTACAGCGTCAAACATAAACATTAAGATAAAGTATTTTAAAGGGGCCCCATCATGCTTTTTGAAGTTTTCCCTTTCCTGTAGTTTGTTATATATGTCTTTGTGCATGTAAATGGTCTGCAAAGGCATTCCTTCAGAGGGAGTTTCTTCCTTCAACTCCCCGATTCGCGTCCTTCTGATACTTAGGCAACATAGTGACATCACTACTAAACACTCCCTCTTCTATTGGCTAGTGCTCCAACACATTGTACGTGATAAGGGATGGGACATCTCTAAGCAGTCGACCAATCACAACAGAGCCTACAATCTAACCAAATGAGAGCAGACTGGGCTCTGGTTTCAGACAGAGGGTGAAAAGAGGTGCTGCAGCACAAGCAGTATGAGAAAAATAAAGAGCTTTTTGAACATTAAAGCATGGAGACATGTCCCAGTAGAGACACTACATACTGATATGAACCTGAACGTGAGCATAATAGGGCCCCTTTATCAGGGTCCGACTCGGCTCCTTTATCTTCCAGGAACCAATTCAAAGCCAACAGCTCCTTTACGGAAGAGTAATAGTGCCAGGAATAAGTTGTTTTCCTTTTTTTTGCATTTATGGAAAAACATTTTTTGAGATGAATGTTATACTACCATTTGGAGTAGGCTTATATAAGTGGAAATGTTGAAAATGAAATTGAAAAATATCTAGTATAAATATAATATTTTCCCGAACAAATCAAGTTTCCAGCGTTAGCCCACACTGAAAGTTCCTCTTTATTTACATAATGCAAAATAAATGCCCAGCCCATATATTCCTGTGTACATATACTAGCCCCAAGCACATGAGAGCACAATAACAAAATGCTCTCTCTCTCCCCTGCTCTGTCTGTCCGTCTCTCTCCCTCTCTCTCTCTCTCTGTCAGTGTGATCAATTTTTTCGACTTCCTCCTTTTGGAGTGGCTAGGCTGAATACCAGAACACAGGATATGCTTTCGCAGTGCTCACAGTTTTAAAGCAGCAGCAGCCGCAGCAGCAACCGTGAGGACGACACGCTCTGCAGTCAAGATGAGTGCTGGGGATGTGGTGTGCACCGGCTGGCTCATTAAATCCCCCCCGGAGAAGAAACTGAAGAGATTTGTGAGTAGGAGTACACACTGGACACTTGTTTATGTCCTCTGCCAGCAGTGTGTATGGCAGGTTGTGCAGCTAAGCCTTGTATATATGCATATGTGTATGTGTGTGTGTGTGTGTGGAATGATGATTTAGAAACATACCGTGGGTTTGTATGCCTTTGTCAAACTAAGATGTAATTCAATCTTTCAATCCTTTTTCCTTGTTTCTATAACAACGCCCTCTGTGCACTTTAAAACACTGGATTTTATCAACAATGTGTCACAATCTGCAGAGAGGGAGACATTAAAATGACTCTAACAGCTGCAAGTATATGTGACTGCTTACACTGTTGGGGTCATGTGATAAAGCTGGGCTGTGTGTCTGTTAGTGTGATGAGCGTGTCCCCATTGTGAAACATGGGAAGTAATGTCAGCCCCAGTCAGACAGACTTAAGTGACAAGCAGAAATAGTCCAGCTTCATGACGGCTGTTTGGACTTCCTCTGTACGAGAGAAGGTGGAGGAGGAGGAGGAGGAGGAGGAGGAGGAGGAGGAGGAGGAGGAGGAGGAAGAGGAGGTCCATTTGTAAGTGCAGCAGGGAAAGAGTGGGTGGGTGGAGGTGTGTATTGATGGGGCTAAGGGCGGGAAATAGAAACTTATTTTAGCACACTATGCAAATCCTGCATGGTAAATACTTGTTTTTCAGACTGTTGTTAGGGGATACACACTATCTGACTCAGTATTCAAATGTCAAGCTGTTATGAAAATGTCAAGGCTTGTGGTCAAGCTTATCTGTGTGTTCTTGAAAGGAATGAAAATCTTCTGGCAGAATATGGCACGCTTTAAAGAAAAAGAATGCAGAGTGGTGGTGTTCACCACGGGGTTGGGTTACTCGCTGAATTTGGCTGCAGCGTCTCGGTTTTAACACCCTTTATTAGAAAGTATCAACACACTTTCTGATGTCTCCTTTTCTGCTCTCTCTCAGCATGAACTGCTGCATTACATTACATCACATTTCATTTAGCTGACGCTTTTATCCAAAGCGACTTACAATGACCAATTACAGGGACATTCTCCCTGGAGTAACTAAGGACTAAGTGCCTTACTCAAGGGCACACTAGTGGTGGTGTTCCAGGTGGGATTTGAACTCACAACCTTCCGATCTTCAGCCCACCTCACTATCCATTAGACCACCACTATCCCTGTATGTTCACAGAGTGGTGAAGTTGGGCCTCACTAACAAGAACATGCATTTCTTTTATCAACACATATTCCTATATTATTACCTTAGGGGATATAATGTATTTTAAAAGCACCCTGTTTTGTCTCATTTGAAATAACTACATCAAAAGACTCATTTACATTGCAAGGTCACACAGGAAGAGACATGACATTTATGTTTACTTACATGTATATTTAGTTATGCTATTATTTATGTTATTATAACAGTTAATTGTTGCCAATATTATAAAATGTTAAAGCTACTGTACATTGTATTGTATTGTTTCATAAGCTATGTATCTTATTCACAATGACCAATTGATTTGTTAACCCTTAGATGCATAAGTGGGTCTTTTTTGACCCGGTGAGGTGGTTTTCTTAGAGTATCTTTATAATTACATTTTTTATCATTTCATATTCCAGTTATTCCTCAAAAAACATGTTTTGGATATCATGCCATTCAAATTTTTAATTTAAATTGTATACATTTTAAGAAATTGTAGTTTTTGTATTACTACCCCAAGCTTCCATAAGTGGGTCAAAAATGCTTTTTCTATGGAATTTCGTTTTTTTTTCAAAATGTAAAAACAAATGTCTAAAATTATAAATAGTGAAAAATTAAATATAAAATATTTCTAGTGTGAACCAAAATATAATACTAAATATTATACAAGTGATTTTTCTTAACCAAAATGACAAAAATGGCATAAAAAGTTTAAAACACATATTATTCTAATACGGGTCCTTTTTGACCCACTTATGGAAGAGAGTAGGGTCCAGGCACTCGTGCATCTAAGGGTTAAACATCGATAAACATTATACAGATAAACAGTATGGAGTAGACTTTGTTAATAGTTAATAATGTTTTTTTAAGCAATTATAAATATGATTTGCTAGCTATATTAAAGTTGCAA